TCTACTGGAAAAGTTTTCTTATTAAAATATAAAATTAGTGGCACACAACTGATTATGTGTTGATAAGCCTCTATGCTGTTTTGCAGAAAGCCTATTATAAATTGAAGAAAATGGCTAGAAAGAAGGGTCAAGAAGTTGACGTTGATCCTGTTAGCACCGCTTTTGATCGTATGAAGGTACTCTCTGTTTACTACGACCATCTCTTTGTTTTGCTGAAACTATTTCTAAACTGTTTCCCTTATTGCTGAACTCAGAGGATAAAAGATCCTCCCATACAGCTGAAAGATTTCCTAAGTATTGAACCTCTGAGAGAAGAAATAAATGAAGTTGTGGCATTTCTACAAAATCCCCATGCATTTCAAGATATGGGAGCTCGTGCACCACGGGTATGTCATTTTATTGAATACGATCAAAATGTGGCATATACTCTTCTGGTAGTGGAAGATATAATACATCTTGGTTTGTTTTATTTATGTTTATAAACAAAATAATTTTGCATAACCCTTAGGATGGGTTTAATTTACTATTTATCTATGTTTAATGCCCTCGCAATTATTTTATATTGATTTTATCCATTTATGTATGTTTCTATTTGTCTTAAACAATGCCACAATTACACACACAATTGTGAATCTCGAATGCTCGTGGAAATTGTAGAAATACTAGGTCACATATTGAATAAAAAAAAAATCTAGAGCCTTCTCCTTCTCAGATTGAGTCCAAGTAAACTCCTTTTTTTACTTGAGAAAATGACAACAATTTGGTAATGTTGTATTCCTCCGACCTGACTGCACTCCTCATAACCATCTTTTGCCATTGTGTTTTCGTTATTCAACAAATAACGAGCCACGAAAATACCTAATATATGTGTACGCGCGCACTTACTAAATACAAAAGCCCATTTCTATTATTGCAGACTCCATTCTCCATCTATATTCTCTCCCTTGCTATTTAGCTGTCCAACAAACCAAATTACCATTATCTTTGCTTTCTACCAACCAATTGCCTTCTCTAATGGCAATCACATAAGCTTTTAGATTTTACCCACAATCAAGCTTTTTTTGCTAAAGATACCTGTTAGATGTTTGTGTTTGTCCCTCATCGATTAGCTATTAGTTGTTATTGTGTATAAGTTTGGGTTGAACACCTTCTATTGAGTTAGCTTTTGGGAATGAGTTCTACCTAGGTCGGTCTGTTATAATCGTTGGCAAACTATGAATTTATTCGTGCAGAACTTTAAATCATATGCACAACGAATTCTAGAATTTATCTAAGTTGTACCATTTAATTCAAGCAAAATCTAAGAAGATACACGGTCAACGGGGCCGGTAGCACCCTCGACAACCTCGAGATCTTTTGTTGTATTCCTTCACCTTGCTCGGAAGTAGTGTGGGCGACGATCTACCTCTTTCGTCGCTTCTTGCTTTCAAACTCATGTTTCTCTCTATGTGGGAGATGGCGTGTGTTTCTCAAGATGTAAGACAGAAGGAGACTGCATTAGGGGTGAACACAATACGGTTAACCGACCCCGAAACCGAATTTTCGGTTTGGACCGAAACCGAACCCAAATATTCGGTTTCGGTATCGGTTTATATTTTTTTTAGTTTTCGGTTTTCGGTTCGGTTTTAATATAAGTGGTCGGTTAACCAAACTGAACCGAAAACCGATAATATGTATAACTTGGAAAAATCCCACTACATATATCCATAATACATTATTCAAAGCCCATATCATTGGCCCATTTATTTTATATATTTAAAAGAATTATAGTCCACTAATTATTGTTTCAACTCACCTCATCTTTCAAGTCCCCAACCCATAACCTACGACGCCATGGATGGCCTGCTCGACGACACCGGGACGTGCACTCCTGCACTCCTCCTTTAGAAAAAAAAAAAGGTCCCCAGCCAACCTTCATCTCATTATGTAAATAAAAAAATACCAAACCTATTAATTAACTAATAACTAAATCAAAGTAAAATAAATTAAAGAATAAAAAAACTCATCTCAATATCTCCTTCTCCAAAGTCCGATCCCAGGCCACATACACTCATCAGCAGAAAAAAGTGCAAAACCCTTAATTTTTCAAATTAGTATCTACTCAAATTTGTTATTGCTTAATTTCACCTAATTATTGTTTTTTGTGTTACTCAATTTGTATGTTTCAATTTTCTAATATATCAAATCATGGTTGTTGCTCAATTAATTAGTTACTGATTATTTATTGCAGTTAACCGATAACCGAAACGAACCGATCGCTAAATTTTCGGTTAAAACAGAACCGAACCATAAAATTTTGGTTCGGTTTTCTGTTACATAAACAGATAAACCGAAAATTCGGTATATTCAGTTCGGTTTTAACCTATTGTGCACCCCTAGTCTGCATGGTGTATTTATAATTATAAATTACAGTAGGGATCTTAAGGAGGTATAGAGTTAAGATTTGGTGTATTGGGTTGTTGGTCAAACCCTACACCTTAACCCATTAGTCCTCAAATTTTATTTCTAATTCAAAGGTTTTTCACATTTCAATAGCTTTTTCATAAAACTCAACTACATAAAGTTCAGCGTTACTTGACTTTGAACTTGAAACTTAGAACATAATATTATCTGAGAACTTAATAATCTCACCATATTTTCAAATTCAAACGTTACTCAAGAATCCACAACATAACCTAAGTCGAGAGATAAATATTCCAACTCAATTCCCAAAGTCAAAAGAATGCGAGTTAACAATGTAAAATAAACTCTTAACATTTCAAGTCGTCAACAATTACCCATGAATTTTTGAAACACCCATTAATTTCGAAAACGGCCACCACGCTTCTGCTGTGGCCCGCCAACTCGTCAACCTGAAATGATAAGAGGATGCTTGGATATAAATTTATCCAAAAAAATCCAATCATTTTTAACTCAACCACTTTTTTTAACTCAACTTTAACTCAACCCCACTATCATTTATATTATCAATATAATTAAATAATATCAATCAATCATTCTTACACACCACATTAATTTTAATTCACTATTCATCCACTCACATAATTTTAACTAACTATCACTTCAAATCATCTCTCCTACTTTTACATCAAATCAACTTTTATTATTTTATTTTAAATATTATTTCAATATATCCACTAACAGCTAATCATATCACCTTTTTCAAAATTAACCAAACCAAACCAAAACAAAAAATCCAAACAAAACAAAAAAAATTTATATCGAAGCATCCCCTAAATGGGGTGAGTATCAAGAGCTCAGTGGGAATAAACTAAGCAATTAACCATTTAATGATAGATATCATTATCATTGACTCATATCTTAACATGAATCAAGACAACAACAACAACAACAACATACCCAGTATATTCCCAACAGGTTGGTGTCTGGGGGGTCAGTTGTACGCAGACCTTACCCTTGTAATTATACAAGGAGGCTGTTTCCGTAGCGACCCAAGGTGCATTGCGCCGTTTGATATATATATATATATATATATTTTTTTTTTCTAGAAACTTCACTAACAGAAGAAGCACTAGAATTTAATTGAGCCATTTTGATCTAGTCCATTATTAGCACTATGCCAGGAGAATTGTCAACAATGACTCTTCTAGCTCCATTTGCAATGGACAACAACATGAATCAAGACACTGAACATATAATATATACACTATGATATATCTACATACTGTGACATATATACATATTATGACATACGTAGTGTGGCATATATACATACTGTGGCATATATACATACTATGACATATATATATATATACATACTGTGACATATATACATACTATGACATACGTAGTGTGACATGTATACATCCTGTGACATGTGTGACATGTATAGATACTGTGACATATATAGGGTGAAACGCACCTTAAGAGGGCGAGCCTAGTTGCCACATTAGTGAGGTTGCATCCTAAAACTAACTAGGGAGGTGTAGCCCACCGGGCTATAAACTAGGCTCATTTTCCCTATTTATTCAAAATGTAGGACAACTCACAAGTGATATTCCAATAAACCCTTACTGAGGTGCCATTTTGATTCTCTTAACATAATGCGCTTAACATTGTGAGGCTATATAAATGTGCATAAGTTTACGCTACGCCTGAATTTTATACTCGTTGCATCCCAGGGTGTTCTTATTGTTGGTGAGGAAGGAACAGGAAAAAGATCCCTGGCAATGGCTATAGCAGCTGAAGCTAAGGTTCCGTTAGTTGAAGTAAAAGCCCATCAGCTGGAAAATGATCGTATGGCGGGCCAAAGTGCATCGAACGTCAGAGAATTGTTCCAAATAGCACGAGATCTGGTGGCTTTCTAACCCCTTTCTTTTATTTTAACCCTATGATACGTTGTTGTAAATGTATTATGGATAAACTTAAACCTCTTTTGAGCCACTGGAGGTTCATTAATTCTTTATCAAGAATTTGTTTCGTAGCAAAATAATGTGATTAGGGGATGAAACTTGGTTTTTTCTATGATGAGTGAAATATATGAAATTTCTATTGCGAAAGTTGGCAATCTCAACCTTGTCCTTGTGGCTGGCACTAATTTTTTACAATGTTGCTCACATTTTTGTGAACTTCATTTGTTTGTGTCCTCGATGACTTGTTTCTACTATTGAGTTTATGCATGAAACAAGAGTAAGCCTATTCAGATTGCAATTGGCAAGTGCGTATACATGTAAAATCCTTTCAAAAACTAATTTCCCGTTTAATCATGGGCATGAATTTATTAGTTGAAATCTAGTTGATTTAATAACTATGATTTCAATTCAAGTTTAAGTGATTCGATTATGAATCCATATTCATCGGCAAGGTTTTGAAACACATTATGAAAAACATAGAAAATTCACTTGGTCTTAATACAAGTGTCAAATTCTGTTCATGGTGCATATTTACAGGGTGGTTCTATCAGTGGTACATACTAAAAATAGCTACATCAATATGTGACATATAATCATTCAGTTCATTCTGAAATAAGGAAGGTGCTTGGGCAATGGAATGATGCCTTTACTCAGAGTGGGAGAAAAAATGGGCGGACACTCCTCCTAGAGAAAACTTTAATTTTATTGTTTAATTAATTAAGAAAAGCCTGTTAAGTGGATGTACCTATCTGTATTTTTTTTTTCTGTCAAAACCTCCTTTATTGTTTATTCCCTTTTACCAGAATATTTTTGAAGCCAGTTCTCATACTTTCGTTGAGCATCCTTTTTGAGAGTAATATGCTAATGCATGATCATCATATATAGGCACCTGTTATTATATTTGTGGAAGAATTTGACCTCTTTGCTGGTGTCCGCGGAAAGTTCATTCACACTAAAAAGCAGGATCATGAGTCTTTCATCAATCAACTTCTCGTGGAACTTGATGGGTATTCCTCTCCTTTCTATTAGATTTTTCTTGTATCATTTAAGAATCCCAAACCTTCAGTCAAATCTAATGTTGTTTTCACTCTTACTGCCTTGTTTCTTAGAGAGTATTTAAGCAAGCTTACTTTTAAGATTTTATAGGCTTTTATACCTACTTAGATATGTTTTAGAGCTTGTAAGCTGTTATTAGTTGCATTTTGGTTTAATTGGTCAAAGCCAAAGTTGATTGTTACTAAGTGCATAATATTTACTTTTTATTGAGAAGAGTTTCAATAAGAATGTTTTTGCTGCATATTAAAGTCACTAAATTAGAAAGTTTTTACTGCATATTAATATTTTTTTTCTGTGATGAATTTGCTCTATTTGTAGGTTTGAGAAACAAGATGGTGTGGTTTTGATCGCTACCACTGAACATCTTAACCAAATTGATGAGGCTTTACGGCGTCCTGGCAGAATGGATAGAATATTTTCTCTCCAAAAACTAATTCCCGCAGAAAGGGAGAGAATCTTACGTATTGCTGCAAAAGAAACGATGGATGAGGATCTCATTGACTTTGTTGATTGGCAAAAGGTTAATAAAATTAGTTTTGTCAATTTCTATCCTTATTTGTTTTCAAATTTTACTTGAATTGGATAAACTCATTTTTATTATAGTTTTTTCATTTCACTTGTTATTTTATAAAGTTAACATTTTAAAGCAAGTCCCTTGGATTCGGTACTTTCCAGAGAAGAAAAAAGGTCTTCTTCTTACCATATGGTGCATTCTTGGTCTTTTCTTGCTTACACCAACCTCTTATGAACCCTGATATTTTGAGTTGATCCATTTTCTGTTGGGGTTTGTGGATTTCTGTTGACCTAGCTCAACATTTGTTGTACGTGCTCAAGCTTTGCGCCTCTTGAAAATTTAGTGACCTGGGAATCAATGAGTACACCAACACTATCTAGAAATAAATTTCTAAATAGCACAACTGTGATGAAAAAACTGAATTTGGTTCTTGCTTGGTGATGTTACATAGCTAAAGTCCAGTGACAACAGTTTCATAAGTTTTTCTCCTTTGTCACAGTGATCCTTGTTTTATTGTCTTGTGCGCTTTCCTTATAACTTGAAGTGTTTGCTACATTTACCATTTCCTAAACTTTTTACAGTATATACGCAAACAATAATGCCAGGGTGTACTTCTAAATCACGAACTTCAGGGATTTTGTTGTAACTTGCAAACTCTCAAAGGCAGTTCTTTTTTCTTTTTATTGTTATTTTCATTTGGTTTTGGATCTTGTTCATAACCAGAAAAATCAGAATCTTATGGAAGGAGCAAGTAGGAGCCTGCTGGCGAACTTTATTGTTAGATGTTGTCACTCTGCAGCCAGCTTCCATGTGATCCACTTTCGGTTCATTCCTACATAGAAGTTGATTATATGAGCCAGTTTCCGTGTCATGATTTCTTTTCTCTTCAACATATAGAATGCCCAACAACGCTTGAAAATAAATCCCCTTCTCGAGTCACTCTTCTGTAGATGGCTTCATCTGATCCACTTGTATTACCAAAGTATTATAAATAATTTATTTTTAATTATGATTGATTGTATATTGATATTGTATGCTACTTGGTGTTTTATGCAAATTTACTAAAAATCTCTTAGCAAACATCTTTCTCTTTTGAAGAATAAATATATTTTGATCGTTTACACATTCAGTGGTTGGTGTTACTAAGGGCCTGCTTGTTTACAAATATATAGGTATTTGATTGATTTTTTTTTTATTTTTTATTTTTGTTAACCAAGTTTAATTTTGAAAAAAAATTGTATGGTTAGTTGTTAGTGAGATTTTAAGTTTGTATTAAAATAATATTTAAAATAAATATTAAAATTGGTTTGAAGTAAAAGTATGAGATAGATGATTGGAAGTGATAGTAAATTATGTGAGTGGATGAATAGTGAATTAAAGTTGATGTGATGTGTATGGATGATTGATTGATATTATTTAGCAATATTGATAATATTGAAGATAGTGAGGTTGAGTTGAGATTGAATTTTTTTGGTATATTTGTAAACAAACAAGCTCTAAATGTTCAACCTTTTATAAAGGTGTTGACAAGCTGACAATCATCTTATCCTGTAGGTTGCTGAAAAGACTGCTTTTCTTCTCCCTGTAGAGTTAAAAAAGGTCCCATTGTCCTTGGAAGGTAATGCATTCAGATCGAAGTTTGTTGACACGGATGAACTTATGAGCTACTGCAGTTGGTTTGCAGTAAGAACTACTGCCCTCTCTTTGACTTTTCATGCTGATCATTGGCTGATCGTGTATATTTCCTCTTATTGACTGGTGAATGCATCATGATTTTCCTGATCTCTTGCACACCTACACAGAAAAAGTTCATGCATGATCAGAATTTTAATTCTTGACTTGAGAGATTTCTTCAGGTTGATTCCCATTGTACTGTTCTTGATATCAAGCTGTTGCATGTTAAGACTGGATCATAATAGATAAAATCAGAGCATGTTTCAGGGTAATAGAAGAGATAAGTTGTATTAGTATTAGTAGTGCCTGTGTTGGAGGGAACACACACACACACACACGCACATATATACATATATCTTAAGTTGTAAACGTGTAATCAAAATTCCGATGGTGTTACAACCGTGGTGTTCATCTATATTCAACGATCTGGTCACGTCTTGCTGTACTTGTGGCGATAAATAAAATATTATCCTTTGTTCCAACGTGTGGCGACAATAAATTAAACTTATTTTCATCTCACAAATGAAGTTATTGTGAATACAAAGTGCAATCGCTACGCCAATGCCCTCGAATATGCCTTTCATCCATACATTTAGTAGAACAGATCATAAATTATGATTTTGTAAGTGGTTAAAAACACTGTTCAATTCATTTCATATCATGTATTTGAACTACTTAACGGACTCGTGATTGCTTAATACGGCATGATGTACTAGTTCTAACAGTAATTTTGAGGTCAGAATAATGTTTGTTTAAAATATTGATACACTTGAATACTTCTATGCACTGACTGACATTATAGAAAAGATGCACTGATATTTTAGCATGTGGCTTTAGATATTTTTTTTACATTAATATTACATATAAGGCAGAGATACCCAACATTTTCTCATTTATTTTAAATCTATATTGCTATTTTGCAGACTTTCAGTGGTGTAGTTCCCAAATGGGTGAGGGAAACCAAACCTGCGAAGAAAATAAGCAAGATGCTTGTGGATCATCTTGGCTTGACATTGACAAAAGAGGATCTGCAGAATGTTGTCGAGTTGATGGAACCATTTGGTAAAATAAGAAATGGCATAGAAATGCTGAACCCACCTCTTAATGTAAGTTTAGTTTTATGTACTCACCAAACTTATCTTACTGGCATCATATCCTTTCCAGAAATGGAACCTAATTTAGGCATCTGAATATAGACCAACATTTTTTCAGTCAAAGCAATTGAATCCGATTGAATAATTGCCACCATCCAAGAACTAAATTTATTTAATGGAATAAGTCTGATGACTTCCTAGTACACGACATAGCTGGAAGCTTTTTAAATCTGTCTCATGTGAAGAATCATAGGTTGCTCATGGTCAGATGATCTGTATTCGACATATGCTCTCATTTCCAACTCCATGCAGGCATGACTCTAAAATTCTTCTATGAAAACGCCCGAAACACATTATATTTACCACTCAAGTCCCACCCGACTATTCCCTCACATGTAAAATATATGGTACAATTAGTTTTGTAGATTTTCTGATAGCTGTTTGCATAACTCCATTACTCATTGTACTCTGGCTTATAGGTATTTCAGTTTTTGGAACCTCAGAAACAAGTAACCAAAATATGAATCTCCGGTTCAGAGTTTAAATGGATTAAGGAATTGACAATTCGCTAGTTCAGGGGGGGCGTCTTAGGTACGGATTGGTATGCAATCAAAATTGTCGATTAGAATTTTTTTATTCACTTTAACTCAAAATCTAACTCAAATTTAGCTCAACCCACTATCCTCAATATTATTATTATAATTAAATAATACCAATCATCTCTTTCCTATATCACATCAACTTTAATTCACTGTTTATCAACTCACACAATTTTTTAACTACTTATCACTTCTAATCACTCTCTCCTACTTTTACATCACATCAAGTTTAATCATTACATTTTAAATATGATTAAAATACAAACTCAAAATCCCACTCAATCAACTTTATTAAAATTAGCTCACTTTAATTCAAATATTATTTAAATACAAACTCAAAATCCCACTCAATCAACTTTATTAAAATTAGTCCAATTTTGATTGATTTTTACTTGTAAAAATCGATCACGCCCTTAGTATATATAGTCATGTTTACTTCCACGGGTTGTTGGATATTGTTCATGTTGGAAGTTTATGCTATTACAGTGGGTCTGTCAGGGTATTTTTGAATCAGCACCAAGTGTAGTGTTTACAAAAGTGTGATTTCATTAAACCGTTTGTGGTACTGTTGAAGTTTGCGATGGTTTAGGTTCGGCGCCCTTCCATGAATGAGCCTAGGTGCCCAAGAAAGTGCATGTGTTTTCTTTTTCTTATTATTATTTTTTTTTTTTTAAAAGGATGTGTTCAGACAAGAAGCATTAGATTTAGGTCCACAATTAGATTGTGTTATCAAAACTAGCTTCAAATTGATTGGAACTTCAGTTTAGAAATAGCTTGTCAGAGGCGAGTGGGGGTGTTTGGGGATGTTGGTTGATTTTGGGTCTTTGTCTGCTTGAAAATGTGAGCTGGCAAGTGGATTTTCGTCGAAGCTCGATAAAGGGTGCGGGTATTTTTTTCTGGGAGACTGCTTAAATTACTGAGCTTTTTCCTATATTATTTTTACTCGAGGTTAGCTAAGGATCATTGTTATATTGGCTTCATCCAGTTGTTTTTGAATTTTTTATCGCCACATAAACCGTATGGGGGTAATTTTTATTTTGGTTCTGTGCAGTGGACCAGGGAAACAAAATTTCCCCATGCCGTTTGGGCTGCTGGTCGTGGTCTCATGGCTTATCTGTTGCCCAACTTTGATGTTGTTGAATATCTGTGGCTTGAATCTTCTTGTTGGGAGGTATAGTTCATCTTTCATCTGTTTCACGATACGCATCTATCATATTTAATACATAGTGTGCTGCCTCTGATTCACCATTCCCCTTGCTTCTCAAGGTTCAGCAAGTACAAAACATTTTTCACTCGATGGTTTGACATATTATAGTACAAAATTTCTCACTCAGTCAACATATCTACTATCTGCTGTGAAATTTGAATATTCAACTCCCAATTCATCAATCTAAACATAGTCTAAATGTACCTAGTCCAACTGTACCTATTCAAATTGCTTCATTATGGCCTGTCATATAAGGCCTTGATATACTTAACATCCCCTTCAAACTCAAGTTGGAGTTGGAACTCGAGGATCTGAAGCATTGTGGTTGAGCAAGTGAAGCTGATGTTGTTTTCTAGTTTGTGCGTGAAAAAACATGCCACTTGCAGTTCTGGGGGCACTGAAGGAGGAAAGTTGTTTTCTGATCACAATGAGACAGGTAAAGGAAGCATTGACACCAATGTGTTTTGTAGGCTCATGCATCACAGGATCATTGACAATTTGTATCGCTCCAGTATTATCACAAAAAAGAGGTGTAGGAGCATCACATGGAATACCAAAATCACCTAACAATCATCGAAGCCATATAATTTCTGAAGTGGTAGTGAAAAGTGCTTGAAGTTATGCCTCTGTGCTTTCTTGGACTTTCATGTAAGAGGAAAAGAACCAAGAAAAATGCAATAACCAGTGACATTGCAACTTTCTTTGTGTTGGATTACTAGCTCAAGTAGAGTCCGAGTAAGCATGAAGCTAAAGTGGACTATTACGAGCATAAAGCGAATACTGAGATAATGTGCCCCTTAAATACCATAACACATGAATCAAAAGTCCAAGACGATGCCACTTGGCGAAGGATGATGTGGAAAACGAGGCAACGAATTACACACGAGTTGTAGAACCAGCAGAAGAGGGAATATGCAAAGTGTCTAAGATGTAATGACTTGGAGAACTTCTATGGCGATGACCAGTTCCAATTACAGTCCTGCTTCGACAATCCTTGAGTCATCAAATCCAACAAAACAGTTGGATACCTGACCAATGACCAATGATAACTGACTTAACCAATGGTAAGTGACCTGGCCAACTGAAAGAAGATTCATGGATAAGTTAGTAACATAATAGATATTAGGTAATGAAAAACGTGAAGTGCATAGAGAACCCTCATGCGTGATAACAAGATGTGTCGTCCGTTGTCTAGATAAAATACCATCCTGGGACTAATTAGATGTCACATGAAAAGATGCCCCTTGGATGATGAGAAACAATTCCTTTACCCGTCTTCCCGCAATGCCTACAAGCTTATGAAGAGCCACCTCTAAGTGCACTAGCCGTGGGGACAATTTCCTTTGAGAAGTTACCAGTGCATTTTGAGAGTATGAGAGTTTGACAAAGGAGCAACTAACATAGAACGAAGACGAGTTTTTTCAGCAATAACACTGTGTCATGGTTAGAGTGGAAGAGTTATGAAACAACAGTGTAGGAGTAGACTCGAATCCCACTCGTACTCCCATTACACATCGATAAATAAAGATTTTTTTCAACAGATCGATATGCTGAATGTTAATTATATATTATAGGCCCAACCCATATTGCTTAAGGCCCTAAGTCTATATATATGTGGCTATCCTCACTTGTGCACATTCATACGTCCAAAACCCTAAGGTTTGTAATATGGTATCACAGCCTTACACATAATTTTTTTTTTCAATCTCACCTCCCACACCAATCAAATTGTTGTCCCGAGATCGACCTTCCGGCGAAGTTTCGCCGTCAGAAGCCGCGCGTGTGAGTCACACGCGCCACCAGAAGTTTTCAGCCATCAATCCCACGCGCCGGCGCGTGTGGGCGCGTGGCTGGCCGGAACTTTTTCTGGCGACCATCCGTGAACTCGGAATTTTATGCTCGTGCTGCCAGCGTTCTTTGTTTTGTGTTTCGGGAGGTCTTTGTGTTCGTTTTGTGCATTTTTTCAGATCCGTCATTCTTCGGGGTTAGGGTTTTTGTACTCTAATCTGTCCTGACCGTCGTCAATTTCTGTTTTTTGTTGTCTCTCACATATCGTGTGCCTCAACGCTGTCCGTCGCAGCGCTTTCATTCATACTTCATCGCGGCTCGTTGCTACGTGTTTGTCAAATCATGTCGCAACTTCATGGAATTGCTATCAATATTACTCTTGATGGTCAGAATTATTGGGAGTGGGCTTTCTCTGTTCAACAGTGTTGAGGGGTTACGGTTTGGCTTTTCACTTGACTGATGAAGGACCCGAAAGGAACGCCGATAATAGCAATGCTGCCGAAATCAAAATATGGCAGATCAATGATGGAAAAGTGATGGCTGCCATCATCAACAGTGTCAAGCAGTCCATGATTATGAGCCTTTCTTCATTTCGGACAACCAAAGGGATGTGGTCCTATTTGCAGCAGCGCTATGTTCAGGATAGTGGTGCTCTCGTACACACCCTTATGCAACAAATTCACGTGATTGAACAGAACTCCATGTCCATTGATGAATACTACTCTGCTTTTGATCGTTTGATGGGACCATTGATCTCTATGGTACCTCAGTGCTCGGCGGAGGAGTGTTCAACACATAAATTTGTTGAGAAGTTCTTTATTTATCGCTTTGTCATGGGACTCAGAGCAGAATTTGAGTCCATTCATACACGGTTGCTTCATAACTCCTCTACTCTGACCATGGCACATGCATTATCTGAATTGATTGCTGAAGAGACTCGTCTCCATTCTCTGTCAGTTGCTCCGCCGTCTGTATCGCAGAGTGTTCTGGCAGCTCCTCAAAGGACATTTTCTCAACGGCTTAGTGCACCCAGACGTGACTCACCAGAATCCTGTAAGCATTGTGGGACTACCGGTCACAGTCACGAGAATTGTTTTACTCATCATCCAGAAAAGTTAGCTGAGTATCGTGCGCGTCGTGCTGCTCGGGCTCGTGGTACGACTTCTGCTATAAAGGGGTCTGTTTCCGTCGCTGCTGCCTCTCCTGTCCATGCTCCTCAGTCTTGGGTCCTCGATTCTGGAGCACCTTTTCATGTGACATCTGATCACTCCCAGTTGGTTGCCTGCAAGGCGGTCCCCGATGGTGCTTCTATGATGACACTTCTTGCCATATGACTCATGAGGGTTCTCTCTGCAATTCTCGTTTTTCAGTGCCTAATATCTCTTATGTTCCTAAATTATCTATGAATCTTCTTTCCGTTGGTCAGGTCACTGATCAAAACTGTTTTCCGTTGGTCAGGTCACTGATCAAAACTGTTTTGTTGGATTTGATGATTCATCTTGTTTTATCCAGGATCGTCGAAGCGGGGCTGTGATTGGGACTGACCATCGCCGTAAAGGTTCTCCGAGCCTCTACGTGTTAGACACTTTACATCTTTCCTCTGGTTCTACCGCTCGTGTGTCATCCATTGCATCGTCTTCCACATCATCTTTTGCCAAGTGGCATCATCGTCTTGGTCATTTGAGTGGCTCTCGTTTGTCTACTTTGATTAGTACTTGTTGTTTAGGTCGTACATCTATCGAGTCTAGTTTTCGTTGTAAGGGTTGCGAGCTCGGAAAACAGCTGCAACTCCCATATCCTACTAGTATTTCTCATTCTGCTAGACCTTTTGATCTTATTCACTCTGATGTATGGGGTCCGTCCCCTTTTTCTACAAAAGGTGGCAATAAATACTATGTTCTTTTTATTGATGATCATTCTCGATATACTTGGGTTTATTTTATGGAACATCGTTCTCAGTTGTGTTCCATTTATAAAGATTTTGTTCGCATGGTTCATACTCAGTTTTCTACTCCTATTCGAGTTTTTCGTTCTGATTCTGGTGGTGAGTATATGTCTAACAATTTTCGTCAATTTTTGACTTCTGAGGGCACTCTTGCCCAGCTCTCATGTCCTGGTGCACATGCTCAGAATGTTGTTGCAGAAAGAAAACACCGCCATCTCATTGAGACTGCTAGAACCCTTCTCATTGCCTTATTTGCTCCTTCTCATTTTTCGGGAGAAGCTGTGTCTACAGCTGTTTATCTTATGAACCGACAGTTGTCTTCCAAACTGTCTGGTAAGTGTCCTGGTGAGGTTCTTTTTGGTATTCCACCTAGCTATGATCATCTTCGGGTTTTCGGATGTACATGCTATGTATTGCTTGCTCCTCGTGAGCGCACTAAACTGACTGCTCAGTCGGTTGAGTGCGTCTTTTGGGATATAGTTCTGAGTATAAGGGCTATCGTTGTTATGATTCTTCCGCTCGCCGCATGCGTATATCTCGTGATGTAACTTTTGTCGAGGATCGTCCTTTCTTTTATAACCCATCCACTCCTCCCACAACTTCTTCTTCTTTTGAGTCTACGTCATTTTTATGTCTTCCTCCTATTTCTTTTCTTGATGATGATGTCTCTGTCTCTTCTCCATCTTCCACTCATGATGAGCCTGCACCATCTAATTTTGATGAGCCTCCACCATATAAACAACCCATCACACAAGTCTATACTCGTCGTTCCAAAGGTCACACAATGCTTCCGCCTCATTCTACTCCATTGGCCAGTCCTGATGCTCCCGTCCAAGATGATTCTAATGTGTCACATGCCATTCCTGAAGAATCTGAGGTTGGTCAAAGATATAATTTACGTGATCGTGCTACTATTGTTCCTCCTGATAAGTTGGGCTTTCCACGTGCGGGTGCTATTATTGATGAGCCCTCAACCTATCAGGAAGCTTCGAGTATTCCAGAGTGGCGACTAGCTATGTCAGAGGAACTTGTTGCCCTTGATCGTACTGGCAGTTGGGATCTTGTTCCGTTACCGTCGCATGCCGTGCCTATCACTTGTAAGTGGGTCTTTAAGACCAAGTCAGATGGTTCCATTGAGAGATATAAAGCTCATCTTGTTGCTAGAGGCTTTCAGCAGACTCAAGGGCGAGATTATGATGAGACTTTTGCTCCCATTGCTCACATGACTACTGTTCGTACTTTAATTGAAGTGGCTGCTACTCGTTCCTGGACCATATCTCAGATGGATGTGAAGAATGCTTTCCTTCATGGTGATTTGCACGAGTAAGTTTATATGCAGCCACCACCGGGTGTTGATGCCCCCTCTGGACATGTTTGTCATCTTCGTCGCGCATTATATGGTCTCAAACAGGCTCCTCGTGCTTGGTTTGAGCGTTTTGTTTCTGTCATACGGGCTGCTGGTTTCTCCCCTAGTGATCATGATCCTGCTTTGTTTATTCATCTCTCTTCACGTGGGCGTACTCTACTTCTTCTATATATTGATGATATGTTGATTATTGGAGATGATGAAGAGCATATTTCCCATGTTAAGAAGCAACTTGGTCAACAATTTCAGATGTTTGATTTGGGCCCCCTTAGCTATTTTTTGGGCATTGAGGTGATGCATTCTGTCTCGGGCTATTACCTTTCTCAGTCCAAATACATACAGGACCTTCTTGTTCGTTCCAGTATTACTTATAATCGGACAGCAGTTACACCTATGGATCTTCACTTACAGCTTCGTCCTACTGATGGTAGTCCTCTTGAGGATCCCTCTCGCTATCGCCATATTGTAGGCAGTCTTGTTTATCTTACTGTTTACCAGGCCTGACATTGCTCACGCAGTCAGTTTGTGAGTGCTCCTACTTCAGTTCATTTTGGGCATTTGCTTCGCGTGTTACGATACTTAAGGGGAACATCATCTCAGTGTTTATTTTATGCTTGTGATAGTCCGCTTCAACTTCATGCTTACTCGGATTCAACTTGGGCGAGTAATCCATCTGATCGTCGTTCTGTCACGGATTATTACATTTTTCTTGGTTCTTCTCCCCTTACATGGAAGTCCAAGAAGCAGGCAGCTGTATCGTACAGAGGCCGAACTTCGAGCACTTGCTACTACCACTTCAGAAATTATATGGCTTCGATGGTTGTTAGCAGATTTTGGTATTCCATGTGATGATCCTACGCCTCTTCTTTGTGATAATACTGAGCAATTCAAATTGCCAATGATCCAGTAAAGCATGAACTTACAAAACACATTGGTGTTGATGCTTCCTTTACCGGATCTCACTGTCATCAGAAAACAATTATTCTTCAGTATGTGCCGTCAGAACTGCAAGTGGCTGATTTTTTCACCAAAGCACAAACTAGAGAGCAACATCGGCTTCACTTGCTCAAACTCAATACTTCGGATCCTCCACCTCCACCTTGAGTTTGAGGGGGTGTTAACTGGCCCAGCTTATATTGCTTAAGGCCCTAAGTCTGTATATATGTGGCTATCCTCACTTGTGCACATTCATACGTCCAAAACCCTAAAGTTTGTAACACTGAACACTCCTTTCTGTGCATCAAGGTACCATGGAGATCAATGGTAATGATCAAAAGCAGAATAGCAATCATCAATAGACATCGTTCTGTTCAATCACATTGATTTGATGCACAAGTGTGTGCAGGAGTGCACCACTATCCTCAACATAGCTTGTTGCAAATAGGACCATGTTTTCCTTGACTCTCCCAAAAGAGGAAAGACTCATAATGTGGATTGCTTGACATTGTGGACGATGGTAGCCCGAACTTTCCCATTGATATCAGCAGCATTACTATTATTGTCTTGCGTTCGAGTCCCCATTGATATCAGCAGCATTACTATTATCGTCTTCCATTCGATTCCATCATTAGTCAAATGAAAAGCTAGACCATAACCTCTCAACACTGCCCACTCCCGATGATTTGACCATCAAGAGTAATATTGATAGCTTGAGTTGTCACATGATTCAACAATGTACGAACAATACAAAAACAATGGTGTATCAAAAAAGCATCCACATGCAGCGATGGGATGCGATAAGCAGTGTAGGACCATGCAATAAAGAAAAAATTGGAAATGACGAGCCCCAGGCTGCGATAAGGTGTGACGAGCAACATAAAAACACACAAACTCTTAGCCCGAGAACTGACAGAATCTCATATATAGCCAAAACAGGTGCCAAAACCTCCCAAAATTGATAACTGGGAACACCACCAGCAAGATAATGAAATACCGAGCCCACGGAAGTTCGCCGAAAAAAATTACAGCGAGGCACGTGCCTGCGCATGAGGCGACCGACTACAGATTTATTCGGCGTGTGTGGCCCACACTTGTGGAGTTTGACTGCGGGATTTGGCTAGAAAGTTAATTATGAGGCAGCAAGGTGATTGGTGTGAGAGGTGATGCTTGAAAGGAAAGAAAAAAAACCTTACTTGTTTTGCACTGATACCATGCTACCAACTTAGGGTTTTTTGAGTTGATGCCATCCTTTGATTTGAATGATGTAGACCTCTTCATGGGCCTTATGGACCTGTCATGTAGGGCCTAGATATACTTAACAAGTTAAATGGAAAATGGGAAGACTTAATACAAATTGTAGGAAAATATTGGGGTTTATGTGAATAGATAAGGACACGTGGAGTTGACCAATCAACCATAGTGACATGATCAGAGAATGCGTGAGTTTGAAAAGTGGAAAAGAGGCTTTGGTTACCTGATGCACCAGAATCAGCTACCCATTTTGTCCTTTGAGGGAAGAGACGTGTAGAGACGTGTAGTAAACTTGCCAGCAGGAAATGTCACCAGTGGAATTACTAACAGTCTCACAAGACAAAGTTACGTAAGCAAAGCGACTTGTCTGTCTCTTCTCCCTAGCTTTGGACAAGTTGTACTTAGTGTGTCCATGCTCGTGTCAGTAAATACATTCAATATTAGTAGTGTCGGAATTGCGATTACCGCAATGCGGTACACCATCCTTGAGAACCACCTCATAAACCCCCATGAGATGAACCATGAAAATTACCACCATGTCTCATGAGGAAGGTGGTAGGAGGGGCGGGCATCGATGCCTGAATGCTTTCTTTGCAAAGAAAGCGTGCAAATGATTCTAGCAAAGAAGGTATTTCAGACTCAGACAGGAGCTGAGGGAGAGGGTGCCCAACCGCACATGCACAATAACAGACTCAATGACAAATTGATGTGGGACAAACATATTTTCTAACACCCGCCGTCACGCGTAGCTTGCCAAACCAAATGGGTTGAGTCCAAACCCAACATCCCTTCCATACACAAACAAACAAAGCTCGGTGCTCTGGGCTTGGGTAGAACTCATCTCCAAAAGCTAGCTCAAAGGGAGAGCTTGCCGAACCACATTTATACAAAATAACACGAGTAACTAATCGACGTCGGACAAACATATCTTCTAACATCAATCAACTATATAGAGGTTGATGTATGAATTGGATCCGAACTTAAATTATTTCATCTTTCACATTTTAAGCCATGCGTATCTGTTTGGAAATTAGACAATTGACTTTGTCTTCAGTCTCTCTCAGCCAGAACAGTAGTCTTTTTGTATCATATTTTTGTTTTCCTCATTTTCTATTTCCATTAAAAAAATTTCAATTTTTCATATATCTGACCTCACTCTCAGAAAGTTTGCTTTTTCATCATTGTAGAGTTTGGTAATGATGGCTCTTCGATATACTATCATTATTGGAATTTTTTGAACATTTATATTAACCATGTCCCGCAACAACTGTAATCGCTTCACATGCAGGGAGTTGCATTCAGCAAGATTACGAAGGCTAGGAATGAAGGTTCGTATAATGTTGAAACAAGAGCTTATCTTGAAAAGAAGCTCGTGTTTTCCTTTGGCTCTTACGTGGCATCATGTTTACTGCTTCCCATTGGGGAAGAAAGTATTCTTCCTTCTTTAGAGTTGAAGGATGCTCGGGAGGTTGTAGCTGCTTTTAATCCTCTCCTATTGCATTGCTTTCTAATCTTAATTGGTCTTTTACGCAGATAGCAATTAGGATGGTTATGCAGTATGGGTGGGGTCCCGATGATAGTCCGACAATCTACCACCATGGAAATGCGGTATTCATCTTTATATGAGTAGAAAAAATTTAATTCCATCTTAAAGGGCATTGACATGAAATTTTGCCTATAATAGTAATAACTTTTATTATTCTTGATTCTCCATGTCATTTAACTTTATAAGCATGCTGTCTGAAATAACAAATCTTATAATGACTTAGAATAATTTTGGCTTTTCAAACAATATTTTCTAGGTTGAAATTAGTCAACTACTCAACTCTCTCTGCTAACATATTTGCATCAAAGATCACTCTCGAGCTTTTCTCATATTCTGCATTTGGAACAGGGATCAGACATTGCAAAATTCTTGTTAGGTAGTTTGGATTTTGCTTCCTTTTGTTGTTTCAACACTAGGATGAAGCATCAGTATCTTCATTTTATCTTACAGCATCACCAGCTTTAGTTTCAGCTCTTTCTAAAGCCTCTTTTCTCAGTTATTATTAGTTGTGTAGGGATCATATTAAGATATTCTTGTAGAACATTATTTTGGAATTCCAGAGAGGCATAGTTCTGTTATGTATTTATGAATTTCAGTCTAGGGATTCTTGTTGGATACTGATGAATGGCATCATTTATCTAAGTACATTAGTATTTGAATTTTAGTCCGTACACATCAATGATAAGCATATTGACTGTTTATTGTTGTCACAGGCTACAACTCTGAGTATGGGAGACAATTTTGAATATGAGATGGCTGCTAGAGTTGAAATGGTATGTTTATGCACATATTCTTATTGGTGATCGTGTGTGTTCTTACATATATATAAAAAAAATGCTTAAATTATGTTATCCTAGTTTCATTTTTTATTTCAGTGACATTTGGGAATTTCTCTGCTAATTTAAAAATAGAAGTCATATAATCTCATGATTTTGGGTAAGTTTATGTTCCGATCATTATATTACCACCAAGAGGTTACAAGATCATATTTTGGTATTTGCCATGCCAAGGGAGAACTGTCCCAAGTGAGAACTGATATATGCGAGGCGAAATTGTTATATGTAGTTCATAATCTTGCAAATGTAATACAAAAACATAGTAAGTAATAATATAAGAGAATTAATCCAGTTACATAAAAAGAAACCCAGATTTTCTAACTAGGAAAGGGAAAACAAAGTCCATGGAGAGGAAAATGATAAAGAGCCATCGAGATTTATCCAGATCTCCCATATAAAAATTATATCTTTCCTTATATACATAAATAATATTTCCACACTCCCCCTCAAGTTGGGTTGTACCGATTGTACATACCCAGCTTGCAACTCAGCAACTCAATTTTTCAAATCTGGATCTTGCTAGAGCTTTGGTGAGTATACCAGTTGTTTGATGTTTACTTGAGATGTATATTAGCTCCACAACTCAATTCTTCAAATCGGGTGACCGCTTGTTTCACCAATTTCCTTTTATTTGTGAAATGCCTACAAACTCAAGGTACTCGAGTGGGCATAGATAAATCCCACAAGGTTGATCCCACTTTTGATTGTTTTCCTTATCAAAGGAAGCTTCTCGATGTCTTCAAGCATGAGATCAATGCAATGAGCCGCATAAGAAGTCCAATAAAGATGTGGTCTTTTGCCCTCTAACAATTTGCCTACGGCCACATAATTGCTCCTATTGTCCTTGGTTAACATTCTTCTCTCCAATCTCCTCCACAAGAGAATCGAAAAGTTCAATTAATTTTTGCCTCATCTTGACAAAGTCGGAAGCATTAGTACTAGCCTATGAATTCACCAAGAAATTAATGATGCATCTTTGCTTCCTATCCGTCTAAGCATCATAATAGAGCAACCACCGATCCTCTTCCACTCCGCCTCGTGATCTTTCATCAAGTTCTTGACATAATAGAGCTGCCGATCCTCTTCCACTCTGCCTCGTGATCTTTCATCAAGTTCTTGGTGTAATCCACTTCATTATTTAAGAGTGGAACTCCAATCTCATGGAAGCTCGGAATTCACAAATGTGGGCCATAGGAACCAATGCCAGCAACCATATCTTTGAAACACGAATGTTTGATAAGATTGAATGACAAGTTGTCGTGATACCAAAAGCGAGAAATAAGTTCATGGACCCTAGCCGTTGATTCTTTGTCACAAGCCTCTCTTATGCTAACTTGTTTTAGTTTTTCCTTCTTCCTCTTGCTAATAGCAATCTCTGACTTTCGGCAAAATAGATCCATCCGATCTTTCAACTCAGCAGCATTCTTTCTCGGAGGTGGTAAGGGAGTGCCATCATCTCTGTCGCAAATTGAAACATAATTGGTATCACCGGTATTTGTTTTTGCCTTCACATAAGCTCAAAGTTCTTCTTGGACTTCCGCCTGACATTTTTTGCATGCTGCAACATCTCCCTTTCTTCCCATCGAATGGTTTTTGGCCCTTATCATTCCTCCCTTCATAATTTTCTCGCAATAGTTACAAACAATTGTGTTTGTATCTCCATCATTTGGTGCATGACTGATGTCATTTTTAGTGTTGGACCTGCTGGCCCTTTATAAAATGAATACTTGTCAAATGAAAGCCCAAGTTAACAAATAATAAGCTTATAAACTTCAGCACTAAGCCACTAAATAATAAAAATAATTTGAATATAAAACACAATGTAGCAATTTAGTATAAATTTCACCATTACACATCATTAAACATAATGCTTGCTTTTCAAAACTATGCTTGCTTTCACATCATTAATCATTAATTATGAACCTAATCCTTTATTTGATGAAGGAAAATAATAAAATAAAAAATAAAAATAAAATGGCCCTAAATCTAAAACAGAAGGAAGAAGAAGGAACAAACCGGAGCTGGAGTCGCCGGTCGCCGGAGCTAGAGTCTCCGGTCGGTGGAGTGTTGATTGTCGGAGCATGGGTCGGTAGGCTCGCATCAGGGGCGGAGAGTTTGGATTTTATGTTTTAGGAGGATGACAGGGATCCCGACTCCCGATCGTATTTCTGTTTTAATATTTTTTATTATTTTTTCTTTTGGACTGGCCTTGCTTTACAGGCCCAATTTAATTTTGTAACTAAAAATGGCCCAGATTTCGCCATTTCACGCCATAGGTGTCATACCGCCATAGCGTCGCCATTGCAAATCCGCCGTATATCAAACAGCGGATGGCGGCCTAGCCAAAAACCGCCACGCCATTCTGCCATGGCGAAAATTTAACAACACTACCTTCAAATGATCCAAAGACGAGTAATAGTGTAATACTCATTAATGGACATGTCGTTTTGTTCAATCACGTGAATTTGCTAAATAAGTGAACGCAAGAGTGCACCACTATCCTGAACATAACATCGTTGCAAATAGGACCACATCTTCTTGGCTGTCCAAAAAGAAGAAAGGCTCATAGTCATGGATTGCTCGACACTTTTTACAATGGCAACCATCAGTTTCCCGTCATTAATATGCCATATTTTGATGTTAGCAACTTTACTATTATCGCCTTTCGTTCGGGTCCATCATCAAAGTGGAAAGCTAAACCATAACCGCTCAATAGGGTTTCCACTAAAAAGCCCACTCCCAATAATTTTGACCATCAAGAATGATATTGTCAGTAATCGACATTGAGTTGCGACATGATTCAGTGATGTATGGCAACAACTATGCCTTCGCGACAAGCGAACGACAACAATTAAGTGAGCAACGATGGGTGTGCCCAAAAGATGATGTTAGACGCATCGTAAGATCGCACGATGGGCGAATAGTGACTGAATAAGAGACGAGGGGAAAAAACCCTAACCCAGAGTGTTGTCGGGCCTGAAATATGGCAAACGGAACACCAAAACCGCCCAAAACACAAAACTAACAACACCGCCGAGAAGCCAAGAAGATTCCAAGCCGATGGTCGGTTGCCGGAAATAAAACCGGCAAGCCACGCACCCAAACGTGCCGGCGCATGAGGATGACTGCATGTTGTTCTACCGGAAGGTTGATCCTAGGGCAAGGAGGCAATTGGTGTAGGAAGTGAGATCCAACTGTTATAAAAAAAATAGCTTAGTTGTTTGGCTCTGATGTCATGTTACAAACCTTAGGGCTTTTGGATGAATAAATAATTCTAATATGAAGATGCCCTATATATAGACTTAAGCCTTTAGTATATGTGGTTGGGCCTCTAATATAGTTAATATCAAACAAATTGTTTTGAAGTTTTTTATGATTAGATGTAAGGCAATCATTCGGTCTTCTTTAGACACTCAGAATGGAACCATTCACTGGTTGCTTATGTTGATGATATTGTGATCACGGGAAATGACGATTCAGGAATTTTTGATTTGAAGACATTTCTTCAAGCTAATTGTCAACCTAAAGAATTGGGACCTTTAAAATATTTTGTTGGGGTTGAAGTCATGCGGAATAAGGATGGTATTTTCTTATCTCAAAGAAAACATATTCTTGATCTGCTCGAATTTGGAAGCTGGAGTTAAACATGCATCACTCCATTGACTCCTAACACATATCCAACACATATCCAGATAAAGATAGTGGTGAATCATTTCGTGATCCTGAGAGATATCGAAAACTTGTCGGAAAACTGAATTACCTTACAGTGAAGTAACATATAAAGAGCAACGTGTAAGACCCGATCCAAATAGCACAACAAATCAATCTTTCAAACGTGCCAAACACAATGGAACCCCAACAAAAATAGAAGTGAAGATAATCACCAAATTACTTTATTTGGATTTGTTGTCTTATAACTTACGATATACTCGCATTTTCATCATGGAAAAAGAAGAATTTCATATATTCACAATATGCACCAAACTTGTGTATAGATTGAAATCTTGAATGAATCATTGTAGTCTCAAGCAGAGGGTGGTTATTGTTGTTTTTTATTTAATTTGATTGGGGTGTATTCATTTGAGACTTTAACTTTAACTTACAATAAAAGATTTTCCGATTTTTATTTATTTATTTATTATTTTTTTTTAATCCTTGGAAATCTTAAGTACCAAGGTGGGATTTGATGGTACTTTTGTATATATATATATATTTTACCTTTGAAATTCCATAAAGTCTTAAAAGTTCAAATTAATCTAGGAATAAATAAATGGAATATGTAATGACCTTTATAAGAATTTTAAAGTGTCAAATGAAAACTTTTAAAACTTATAAAATGTCCAAGTTATACGCCCAAGATTGTTAAAATCTCAAAGTCTAGAAATCATGAATGAATACACCCTTCTAAGTCAATCTAACTTATATTCACATAGACCTACTTTTGAAGTTTCTTAATGTAATCAGTTAAATTGAATGTTTGCAGATTTATAACTTAGCATACGATAAGGCAAAAGCACTGCTTCAGAAGAATTATGTAATCCTTGAAAAAATTGCTGAAGAACTGGTTGAATATGAAGTTTTGTCTGGAAAGGTATGTATCTCGATTTTAGCACAGATCTTTTCTGCAGTTTGAATAAGTTTGCTGAAGCTTACTCATCCCTGAAATTAAATTCTGTACTGGCTAAACAGTTTCATATTCGCATTTTGTTTTGAGGCTTAGTTAATCGGAAAAATTCAACTATGTTTCTGATACTAGGTTTTGAGTCCTTAGTGTTGGATATTTTGGCCATTACTGCTGAATTTCTTATATGATTGTATCAATGTCATCCAGTGCCCATCATTGTTGCTATGCTTCATCCTTATTACTTATTGTTGTCGTCTTTAACCCCTCCTTCCCCTCTTTTTCTTGCGTGAAAATGGCGGCATTTCATAAGATCAAACACATTATTACTTTTTTATGTAATTTGCATTAATTTTTCTATCAAAGATTAGAAACCACATACAGAGTCTAGTGTCTGAACTTATATGGTAGCTCATTCTATTGTTTAAGTATTCAATCACATAATTAGCAAGTTTTATTGTAACCATTGGATAATCAATCGAAAAACAATTAAATGGAATATTGTAGTCGTAAGCCTGCACAGGTTAGCTGATTGATTAACTAACTTGACTGGATAGAGAAACTACGAGGGATTTTATTGAATGAAGTGTTGGATAACTTAACATGGGAGATAAACGACATATAATATTTGGAGCCCATGCGTAATTTAGGTTTAGAGAATGTAATGCAATAATAACTCGATCAAATTATTGTTGATGGACTAGTAGTCTTGAAAGTCTCGCACGGTCTACCTTGAGAAGAGAGATGCACGTAAGTTGGAGTGAGAATGAGTCGGAGTTGGCCATGGTGTTCAGTAGATTGTCGCCCAAAGAAAATGCTATCAAGTTTTCTAACTTTGCTAATTTTACTTTCAAAATTTGCAATTTTGATGGTGATTTCCGTTTGTTGTGGCAGGACTTGGAAAGAATTGTTTCTGAGAATGGTGGCATTCGCGAAAAGGAACCATTTGTCCTTACAAGCTCCAGTTTTGAATAGGTATAGTTCTGAATGATATCTAAGTTACTTGATCTCACTTTAAATATTATGCATCCTTAGAAAAGAAACCGTTTGTCCTTACAAGCTCCAGTTATGAATAGGTATCGTTCTGAATCATATCAAAGTTACTTGATCTCACTTTAAATATTATGCACCATTTCTGAGAAGCACAATTATGGTTTCTAACGCTGTTTGAGAATGTGTAGAAGTTACATTATTCCGGGTAATAATTGGATTCTTGAATAACCTGGCTAGACCGACTTTGTAGATTTTTGTGCTGAAAAACTGCAAAACCATCATCAATCTCAGTGTTTCCTCTGTATAATTACAAAATTAATTGAAAAAGGATCAGTTCTGTTTATGATGAACGATGTGATGATTAAATTTCTGAAATTACCAGTGGGAACATAAATTGTGTGATGAGAAGTCAGCCAGTGCTCAATAGCATATTTACTCTATCTAGGGGTGGTATTCTTTTTACCAAAAATCGAAAATCGAAATAGATGTGAAAAAAACTGAATTGAACCGACTAATCTACGACGGTAACCGATTATCGGTTACCCGAGAACAATGCGATTCGGTATCGCCCCGTGAGAGTTATGGATTTAAAAAAAATGAATATTAATTATTTAATAGTGATTAAAGCATAATGAGCCTGAAAAACTTTTCATCTCCTCAGGAACAGACTCACTCTCTCCTAAATCCCTAACTCACCCCTTGCTACCAATGTACTTCTATTTTTCTTTTCCATTGCCGCCAGTCTCTCGTTTCTTCCCCTTTTTTCTGAAATCTCCAAATCCAAGAGCCTTTTTGACTGGAGAGTATTGGTGTGATGTTTTAGCTTTTATTGTATGTCAGAATTAATTTAGACCCAATTGTGAAATGTAGGATTTTCAGTGTACCTTAACATTCAATGAAAGATAACAAAAGAAAACATGTTTTAATTTCAATAATTTAACATTCAGTATCATATTTATTGACTTTTTCCTAATGATTTGCTTTTATATGCTACGAAATATTTCAAATCAATGTGCTTCATTCAGTGCTTGCTCCCTTTGATCACTTCCTATATGCTGCGCTCTTTCTGCCTTCAGTTGGTTGCTAAAATTACTGTATTCATGTTTCCTTTGAGCTTGAAGCTTTGAAAATCTATTTTTTTTTTCTTTTTTATGTTTTATACTTCGCACAGATCCGAGCATTCATGGACTTGCTGATTGAAAGACACAAAGCCGTGAAGCCAGATGCCAAAGCATGGACTTCTGAGAAGGATGCTTGAAGAAATATGCATGCTTTTTGGTTCAGATATGACTATATCATGACATATTAGCAAGGAGCTCAAAAGTGCCGTTTCCAGATCATTGAAAATACGAAACAATCCTATTACATGGGCTTGTTTTTTTTGAGTTTGATTATTTTAATCAAAAGAAGTGTATTTTGTAGGGTAGAAAGTGAAGACCAAACCTTTTTCACCTGAGCTTAGAAGAGAAATGATTTTTTGTTTTCCTGACTGACTGTACAGTGTAGATTTGGTTGGTGAATTCTAGTATACAGTATTCTCCTTCAGTAGCACAACTTGCTCTTATCTCTAGTTTTATTTTACTGTCTTTGGGAGAAGAATTACTGTTTTAAGAATAAAGTTTGAGCATGACTTGGCTGCTGGAATTCCTCGTCATATCAAATCCGGTTCTGGAAAAGATGGTTATGTAGGTTTCACCATGGCCGTGTGCTTAAAAGGTAATACGGCTAATTAAAAGATGGTTATGTAGGGGTGTACATAACACTCACATTGAGTGTGACCTACCAAAAATAAAAAATTAAGAGGACTCCACTCCATGTGAGTGTTATGTGCACCTCTATGTACATTTATTATGTACATGTAGCATTTTCGTTATTAAAATATTAAAGTTAATGCATGAGCTTATCCATAATTTATGTGAGATGGTTCTTTTACCTACATGGTTGGACAACTTGGACAATATAATTAACAACCAAAATATTTGGATGAACCTAGAATGCACTACCTATTATTTAGTTTTTGAAGCATCTTCTTATAAATTTAAGATGTTGTAGGGTCCACATGTTATTTTCAACCTAACATTGTATTTTCAACCATGTTGGCCCATCGACCTTTTTAAGATTTGATTCTTGTTCCTTATATTTTTACCTTTGTGTAGTCTGTCTGTTCTTCTTTATCTTTGACTGCTTTGTTGTTATTGATTTACACGGTGCACGATTTCAAGCTTATTCAGACAATTTTTTCAAGCTTCACATTCTAGATTCTTTTTCGGTTTTTGTTGATTTGTCTTAAATTTAATTAAAAAATAATTTGTTAATTGAACTAATTATTTCAAAATTATGTCGACATGTCTAAAAATTAAAAAGTAATGATAAAAAACAAATAAGGGACCGAACTCTGTCCCACAGTGCGTACTTTTAACAAACACCAAATTTTAACTTTATTATCGATTAAATTGGACTCGACTGTGTGTGCACAGCCGAAAGCCAACTAATATATATATATATATATATATATATATAGATAAATAGTTCATTTGAGAAAGGTTATAAGAATATTGTAGACTTGTAGTATAAGATTGGTGCATGCTTGGATATAATTTTTTCCAAAAAAATCCAACCATTTTTAACCAATTCATTTTTTAATTCAAATCTAACTCAACACCACCATACTCAATATTATTAACCTCAATATTATCAATGTAATTAAATAATATCACTCAATCATTCTTATACATTATATCAATTTTAATTCAGTGTTCATCCACTCACATAATTTTAACTAACCATCATTCATATTATTTCTCTATTACTTTTACATCAAATCAACTCTTAGTATTGTATTTTAAATATTATTTTAACATAAACTCAAACTCTTTTTAATAACTAATCATACCACTTTTTTCAAAATTAACCACACCAAATAAAAAAATCTAAACGTAATCAAAATATTTTATATCCAGCATCCCTTGATAATCCAACGGATAAAAAGAATTTAAGATTACACAATAAGAAAGGCATATTGGTCATTTTGGACTTCATCCCCAGTCTCTCTTTCAGCTACCGTCCCTGCAAGTGCCTCCACCGAACCTTCCAGCAGTTCGCCCATAAACACGGCCTCATCATCTCCCTCAAGCTTGGATTTTGCTGCATGGTAGTGGTGTCCGCCGCCGCCGACATCATCCTCTCCAACCTTCTGCGCGTCCTGGTGGGGAGCCGTTCCTTTCCCGCGCGCGCGCAATGCCGACCCCACGCTCTCCGCCGCCGACGAAATCATCGTAGTGGTCGACACGCTCCTCGCCGGTAATCGTCTGATCTAGACCAACCAGTCATATTTCTACTGGATCCTCTGCGGTGGCGACGCCGACCTTGGCGTCAACATGTACCAAAGTGTCGTCCTTCACTACTCAGTACTCCCCCGTCCTTTTTCCCGCCGCCGCCCTGCACTCACAGCTACTTCTTTCGCCGCGCCGGATATGTACCTTGTTGCCGTCGTTGTCTCCGTCTCCAGAAACCCATTGGTTGGCCGGAACTGTTGTAAATGAAGAATAGTTTTGAATAGTGACTTGTTATAGCTGTGTTTTAACAGTACTGGTAGGATACGATACAAGAAAGAAAAATTGTCAATTGATATGGGTTGATAAGACCCACATGTATTTGGTGTAGGGCCCAAAAGAAAGTGCAATTAATTAATATTGAACGAGACATCCCCTTATATGTCGAAGGGATGAGACGAGATATTAGTGACAAATAATCTTTAATCCGGATTAAAGTTTTTAAAAATATAAATTGTAATTAATCTTTAATCTTTATAAAAAATATAATTTCCTTAATTTTTTTTTTCAATCAATATTGTAATTCATATATACTTAACTAATTTATATTTATATTGTTTTATTTTTCATATTGATAAAATTTTTAAAATATAATATTTACATTATCAAATTTATAATTTTAATCTTATATTAACATATATAACTTATAATATCTTATTTATATATAGACATTACTAATACGAATTAAAGATTAATTGTCATCTCGGCCCATCCATTCAACATTTAAGGGGATGTCTTGTTCAATATTAATTAATTGCATTTCCTTTTGGGCCTTCAGTGAGATCCAATACATGTGGGCCTTATCAACCCATGTCAATTGACAATCTTTCTTTCTTGTATTGTATCCTACCAGTACTTTAAAATACAGCTATAACAAGTCACTATTCAAAACTGTTCTTCATTTACACAGACCTAAGCACAAACTTGGTATCCAAAAAAAAGAATCTCAGAAATGGAAGACAACAGAGTGCCCGACGATTCAAATATTGGGTACCTGGAGCTTTTGAATTTCAGAAGTTACTATCTCGAATACTTGAAAGTGATACGCTAACGTTTAAACATGAGATGTATAAAGAAAAAAGATATAAGTGATGGGGAAGATGGTGGTGGTGGTGGAAGGAAAAGTGGTGGTGATGGTGGAAGGAAGGGTGGTGGTGATGGAAAGGAGAAAAAGAAAATGGATGAAATGTTGGAGTGGGGATAGGGGTTTCAGGGGAGAAGGCAGTGCGTACCGTGGCCGTGGACTGGTGTATCAGCGTGACCGAGCCGTGGGTGGTCTGGCGAAGCTCAAAATCGGTGAAGGCCCGAGAAAGAGAGATGACGGGGGATATTGATGGTGGTGGTGATGATGATGTGTTCTATGTCCTGGAGTCTCAGAAGTCCACGGAAGATGAGATGTTCAAAGCGTTGACAGTCTTACCCATCAAGTCGATGTGCGGTGAGAAGGATGTCGGTATCATTCTTCGCATAGACAATCTGTGCATATGAGGATACAAGATCGGAGCCGACACATGGCGCGAGTTCTACGGCCAGCTTCGACTGATCAAGCGCTCCAAACTGTTGGGTTACAGCGGCAGCTACTGTGACTTGGGCAATAGATCTCTTACTGGCCTAGGCGTCAACGTGATTACGCTCAAGGTCGTGTCGTGCTTTGGCTGCACACCCCCTCGAACTACACGGCACACGCACTCTTGGTGGTTATGGTCATGATAGCCGAGGCGGCCCGATTCTTGTCTTTGGCCGCCTAGTGGTCAATCCCTTTGGTGCAACTTATGAGGGACATGTTGAACGATTGGTCGGCCTCGTCCAAGGCCATCCTGAGGGCCGAGATCGGGAGTTTGACTTTCCGGCCTTTTATCTTGCAGCAAAAGCAATTTCTATAAAGATATGTTGGCTCGATCAACTCATGTTTGATTCTAAATTTTAAACAAGTGACAGCCGTCGTGTTTCCCTTGTCGCGAATGGAGGTAAAATTTCTGTCTCTTTCTTCTCCCTTGTAATTAATTTCTGTTTGCATCGTTGCTAATAACTTTAGTGTGAAAGTTCTGTTGATTCATGTTGTTGATGGGAAATTAATAATCCTACTATTATCAATAACAAAATTTGATTGGGGATATACTATTATCAATAACAAAATTTGATTGGGGATATTTTTGAAGAGAGGCTTCACTAAAACATCGCATCTCATTATGTGGAGACAAAGGCTTCAAGTGGTGTGACAACATAGTTTTTATAAGATCAAGTATATTTTACCTTGTCATGCTTGTTAACGCTATATTTTGATAATCTTTTGGAACTTTATTGTTATATTTTAAACTTCTGTCCATATTCCTTGTTGTGCATTACCTGTCTGGTTATCTGCTGTTTTTACCCTTTTAATATAGTCTTATATGTTTGGTATCTTCACAAAACTTGTAGTTCCATGAATTGGCTTTCTGTTAGAGCAAGAATCAACCCATTATCACTCTTATATGAAAATTTATGATTAACATACAATAACTGCGCAGACAGATTGCTGCCAGACAAGCTGTGCGCTGTTTGACTAGTATGTTTTCACCTTCCTAACATTTTTTCTGTTTTCACTATTTTCATGAAAGTTGTATTGTATATATGTTTTTCTGATATTTGTAGGAACAACAATTACGCCAATATCTATTTTCTATGAAAAGTTATGCACAAAACAAGAACAAGGAGCTTAGCTGTTTTCTGCAAATTTTCGCAGCAGTAGTGATGCTGAATCTTGTATTATTTTCATTCTGTTACCATGCTCATTAAAACTCCAAGTCTTCATAAGAGTTGTAGATGTAAAGGTTATCTTTTAGTAAGTTCAAGAATTAGTCCAAAATATTTTCTCTAGTAAAAGTTATGTTCATATTACACAAGTTACGCATGGTGGTTTGTTATTTTTGCAGCAACGCTATTGTTCCGTTTGGAGAAAGATTCACTCTTTAGAAAACCTTTTTTGTGTTTTGAATCTAAATATGGACTGTATATGTGTCATGGCATTTTTTAGGAGCAAGAATTTCCTCGACATAGATTTTTCGTACAAGCAATAATGAAAATGATAAACCGTTGTACACCTGTCCCGTGTTGCAACATTGATTCTGCTCGATTTTACCACGTTTGTACTCTTATGGAATATTAGCGAGTTTATAGAGTTTCCATAATAGTATTGTTTGTATCTTATATTTTCACTCCATGAATCAACCTAATATCTATATTGGGGAAAATGTTTCAGTGAAGATATGAAAGTTTCACAAAGCTGCCAAGATATTATGATGTTGCTTTCTCCTTCAATATTTGCATTATCAGTGGCTTGGGAGATTTTAATGTAAAACTACTAACATCATGTTTTTAAATTATGTTGCATGACAGTGCCGAGAGAGCAGCAAAACAGATACATAAATGCTAAATGCGGATCTTTTTTATTACATGTTGAATTTAAACATAAAAATTCAAACCTATAGTTCTCAATCAATTTTCTCGTTTAGTCTAATGGTGTGACAATGGTGAGCGTTGACGTACCATCTCAAAGCTTATATATGATATGTGTTAATAGTTTTTTTAATGGTTTTTAGCTTTTATTTAGATTGATACTTTTTTTGTGATTTACAAAATGTACTCTATATCATGTTTGTACGAAATGATGAAATGACTTAATTTTAATATCCATATATGTATATTTTGAAGGGAGGACGTCATCTAAACTTTCGTGGTCAACATATTAGCTAATTCATATATGTATAATGAGATAAAAAATTAATTTTGTGGTCATATATGTATAATGAGAATATGTGACAAAAAAATTAAGCTGATTCGTATAAGAATTTTGTGACAAAAAATTAACTTATTAGCTGCATATGATTCATATAAGAATTTTATGACAAAAAGTCAAACTTATTAGCTGCGTAGAATTCCAATTTACAATTGATGCAACTGCAGAGCAAATTTAAAGTAGAAAAGGATGGACTAGTTTGAAGAGTAACATTTTGAAATACAAAACGACAGCGTTTTGCTTTCTTTACTAAATAACTGTGAGTGTAAATGCACTTTACTGTGGTAAGTTATGAGTTGTTGGCAATTGGCCAAAAGAGTTACAAATTTTTATGCAGTCATTTATTTTCATTTATTTTACTTTTAAATTGTTTCCACTTAGGTGATCTGCTACTAGCAGTTGTTGACTTGTTGTAGATATAATAAATTTACCGGTTTGATCCGAGTTAATGATGAAGACGAGCTCGCGATAGTTTTCTTGGAGAACTACGATCGAATCCCAACATTAAAATAATTATTTATTCACATAATTATTATTTTTATTACTACTTATTTATCTCTTTTTATTGTTAGGATAAGATTCTTTTTATTGTTAGGATAATATTTATCTGTTAGGATTAAAACTTGATTAGCAAGTTAGGACTTTACTAGGCATAGGAGTCTATTTATTTTGTTGCAGAAGGGTTGGACGATCAGTTTTGGTGGAATAAGAAAAAAGTTATCTGTTAGAGGTTTTTTTTATCTCTTCTTGTTCCCATCGTATACCTTTCGCTGCGTCAGTTAAGTACATCCAATTTTCGATCAGTTTTACATGTGATTTGCACTTTTTTGGATTTCCCATGTACTAACCCAAAGTATTGTTGTGATAAAGCACAATTTGAAGTTTTCAAAAACTTTGGACCATAATATTATTCATAGAAACCATTCTGGCAATATTTTCAAGATGTACTTTTTATTTTCGATAATTATAAGAGTACAATCAATGCCAACTGACACCACTGTGTCTGGACCAATCCCTTTGAAATTAAGGAGGTACGAACTCTATAATAGGAGACACAAATGAAGGTTATCAATTATAAATTTGCAAGATGTACTAAAAATTGTAAAAATAGTTGCAATAGCAAAGAAAAATGTATTCTATACAGGTTGCAAATTTTAATTTTTAACTTCAACTAAAGTACTCAGTTTATATTTTCTTGTTTTTTTAGGCCCATAAAATAACAAGTAGCCCATGCATTTTTATTAACCTTTAAGGATGACATCGAATGTGACTCAACTGCCAACGAGCAAAATCATGTGCATGAACTCAAAGATTACACAGCCGAATATATATATATAAAAGAAATGAAAATAAATATGAAATATTAGATCCATCAAGATAACGGTAATAATCAAACCAATTTTTAAATACGGCAGTCAAACATACAGTGATAATTTCGTAAATAAATGTATGTATACATTCGACCACTCAGCAAACTATACATTACATATCTACACCCATGCAACAAGTGACAGTGAGCCCCACCCACCAACGCATCCCCACATCTCTCTCTCTCTCTCTCTCACTCTCTCTCATACACACACGAACAACCATCCTCCCCATCCTCGCCATGGGCCACCTCAACCCCCTCGGCCAATTCGCCGTTAACCTCCACCTCTGCCACCGCGTCTTTACTACCCTCATCGTCCCTACTGACGGCCCTCTCCTCGTCACCCAATCTGGCATTCTCTCTTCCCACACTCTCAGCTTCGATGATCTCTCGACAGACGTCAAAATCGAGACGCGCATCTCGCTCATCGTCACCTGCTCTCTGCCCTCGATCAGCGCCACCCTGAAAAGCCTGATCGACAGCGGAAGACAGCCGGCGACGCTTCTCGTTGACCTCTTCGGCACCGATGGATTTGAGGTTGCTGCCGAATTAAACATCCTTTCGTACATCTTCTTCCCGTCCACCTCCATGGCGCTTTCCCTATTCTTCCATCTACCGAGGCTGGACAAAACCGTGTCGTCCGAACACTAAAAGGTGGCCGAGAAACTACAGATCCCAGGTTACATCCCGATTCAGGCCACCGTCGTCGGGCTCGATCCAATGGTCATCAGCATGCACTCGACAGCCGCGTACGTATCTGCGGTGGGGTTCGGGCGAAGGACGAGAAGCAGAGGTGTTGAGGGGTTTGGGGAGCTTCATTTCGAGTATTGGATAAGTTCGAGGGACCTATATGCAAATTGAAAAAAACTAACTATATTGCAATTTAACTTATGGGTCAAATATATAATTTATTAAAAATTTAATAAATGACCGATATTGTAAAACCAATGAATGACCGATATATATTTTTTTTTATCGTTTCGCTCGCTATGGTGCATTATGATAGTCATTACTGTGTAATTCGTCTATACTATTTTGCACTTGCAACATAGACATTTGTAGTGATTTGTCACAAATCAAACTAATACCGAACTGAAATAATCGGTTCACTCGGTCGGTTACCGAGTTACCCTATGCAATCGAAATAATTTACTAGTTATATTATAAAAATATATTTAGTACTTTAGTATTTATATTTAATATTTTATATTATTTTTTATTGAAAAAATATATAAAATAATGTCGACTGAGCTACCCGTATTGCCGACCACCCACTGCACATCGTAGCCTGCAACCTCTGTGATACTAACTAGGGCAAAGTTATGGGCCCCGAAATAATCCTAATGCCATAATTCCCTCGGGCAGTTGGACTTGTACCTCTGCGACTTCTTCGACCACCGGTTTACCCTTGTCGATCTCCCCTTTACTGCCAAGGGAGCTTTCTCCCGTGCAACACCTTGTTATCCCCTGAACGACCCCCAGCTCCTAGGCCTCCGGGAGTCTCTTTGATGAGCTTTCCGCTGAAGTCAACATCGTATGCGACGGGGATAGCATTTTTCCCGAGTTACCTATTGCCATGATCTCTTTAAAGAAAACTACTTGTGAAAACTTGATTCGCCCCTTATAGCTGATAAAAGACTGGATTTATTCTCACATACGAAGCCAATTTTATGTGTCAATTTGCTGCAGACCGGTTTGAATGGATCAATCCTCGAACGTCTGCCTTTCTCGAGCTCCGGTGATCGACACTTCGACGCTCAAGTCAAAACTGGTTTGAGAGAATAATCTGAGATATATGAACTTATTGCGTATAATTGCGATAATAGTAACATAGAACCTGGTTACGCTTATATATATAGAGTTGATGTCTTGATACCCAAGAGAGTCCTTGGTAGAAAAGAGATCTAACCAGATCTTGTTTCCTAGTTTATCACGTCTCTATCCAAGCAAGCCTCCTTATAAAAAGCTATAATTTTCTTCCTACTAGAATTCTTTTCCCCATCACTTCACCACATAGCCATGAGGTCCTTGGCTCGTAACCATGACCTCCTAACCTCCTTGCCATAAGACCTAGACAAGGTCAATACCCGACCTCTCCACCTTGCGACCTCGAAGCCTCGAGGTCTCTCTCTGTATCTGAACTTCTGGAGGTCGTTACCTCCAAATTGTCTTAACAGGTCGACCGGTACCTTAAGTTGCATCTGCGAGCTCTCTGACTGGGGTATCTTCTTTTTAGCAATAATGCTTTACGTCACATATATCAAGTAAGAGCATCTACAATGCATTGGGTCTAGTCTTACCTATATGGCATGTAAATAAACCCAAGTCTTGGATGACATGGATAAAACTATGTAAAATTGATAAAACTCACTCTAATGCAAAGAGACTAGGTTTGTACTTGGGCTTAAAATAAACTTAATGGTAGACCGGGTCTCTTTTTTTGGCTGTCACATCAGCAGGACCCAGTTTACTTTTGTTTGCATTGGAAAATACATGTTTTTAAACTAGGTCTATTTCTTAGGTGACATACAAATTTATGTAATTGAACCCAAAGCATTGTGGATGCTCTAATAATGCTCTAAGTCACATACATCACATAAATTCATTATAACTCAATAAAATAATCAGAACCCATATGAACTCTGCATTTGACCCATGCATTGAATTTCCTCCAACTGCTCTCTGAACCCTAAGTAAATTCCCTTCAGCCAGTGTCTTTAAAAGGGACAGCCCAATCAACTAACATAGCACCAAATCTCCAGAAAGAAAGAAAAAAAAAGGCCAAAAAAGAAGAACACATTAGAGAGAGAAAATGGCTCGGCTGGCTTTGGCTTTCGTTTTCCTTTTCACTCTTCTCGGGGCCCATCAGGCGGCGGCCAGGGCTTTGACCGGCGACGCTGGCCTTGCCGACCAGAAGAACTACGCCTCCTTTGGGGGAGTCGGAGGATACTCCGGCGTCGGCAACGGCGGCATTCCGTTCGGCGGCGTTGGCGCCGGTGTTGGCGGAGGCGGCGGATTTGGTGGGGTGAATGGTTTCGGCGGCATCGGAGGTGGTGTTGGGACTCTGCCGGCCGGTGGTCTTGGTGGCGCCGGCGGCATCGGGAATCTCGGTGGCCTTGGCGGTGGCGGAGTTGGTGGCGGAGCTGGTGGTGCCGGAGCTCTGCCGTACCCTTGAAGTTAGGCTGGTGCTTTGACTTTTCTCGGCCGTTTTCTATTTCCGGTTTGTACGTCTGAATGTTTTTTTTCTTTTCTTTTAATTTAGTGTTGGCTTATTTTTACGTTGATTTAGTGGGATTTGTGAGTTTGAGTTTGTTTTATGAATTACTTGTACTGGCTTTGGTCTTTGTGGTTGTCATTGGTTGTCGAGTTCTTGCTCAAGTTCTGTATGGAAATACGATGTTTGTGTTTTGTGGTTAATTACCACCAACCTAGGCAAATTTCTACTGAAATTTTCTCCTTTTATTATGAATTTTTTAGCTATTTAACTTATTATTGACTAATTTTGAATTTACATAAAATAAGACGTGTTAGATTACGTTGATCCTCGTTAATAATATAGTTCAAAGTTCACACGAAGACCTGCATTCTCTTGTCCTTGTTTATGATTTTGTTGGCTATTTGACTTATTATTGACTAATTTGGAATTCACATAAAATAAGACGTGTTAGATTTCGATGGTCCTCGTCAATAAATATAGTTCAAACTAAACAAGAAAAAGTGCATTCTCTAGTCGTGCAAGAGCACCTTTTAAAATTTAAACTGTGATAGCTTGACAGACAATATACAATTAACCCAATAATAGCATTTTTTGAGAACACTAATGACTGGTTTTCTAAGTTCCAGTTAACCCAATAATAGAATTTTCGTGCCTTGGGCACAGTAAGCTTTCTGTATTTACATACACACAAAATAAAAAGAAACTTTTACAATTTACAAAGATTCGTAAGTAAAAGCTTGATCACTTGATGTGAAAATACACTTACTGGTTGCAAAATCTTGCACGTGATTGACAAGGGATAACTGCATTTCCACATAAGAGCAATTGACAAGGGATATTAGCAAAAATCAAAGCTCAAGCATACCATCAAACTGAAATTATGTTTTATCGCATGATAATTGCCATAGCCAGTTCCGAAAGTTTTGATTGAACACACACGAAATCAAAAGTTTAAAAACTGAAACAAGCGTTACACAACTAATTCCAATGATAACATGATGACAATGACTCTACATATAGAGCCCCTCAGGAACTCCCTCTTTCTTCTTGAACATGACCTTGTCTTTCGCCTTCTTAAAATCTGCATGTGTCACCTGAACATGAAATTTGGATTTATCAATATAGTTTATGTCCACCGAATGAAAACATCAGAAAACCAGCAAAGTATAGCTCTGGAAATACAAACACAAAAGAAATAAATATGTTCAAGGGTGAGCTCAGCATGATGTGGTAAACTATATCCCACCTCTACAGATTCATCATACATAATCGTGATCTGCAGATTATTCTCATGCTAATAATCAAATTCAAAAATGCCCAAAATGAGTTCATATATGACACCCACAAAGTAAGATCAAGTCTTGTTTGGGCATCAACGAAATTGTTCGTTCGTCTTACCTTCATGCGACGTTCTCTGAGAGCAAGCAAACCAGCTTCAGTGCATATGGCCTTAATATCAGCTCCAGAAAACTCATCTTTTGTCATAACAAACTCTTCCAGGTTAACATCTTCAGCCAACGTCATTCTTGATGTGTGTATCTAAAAGAATCAAACAAACAAGGTATATTTAGTTCATCAGCCTGACAAAAACAAATCAGTGATAACTAACCACACACAAACCTGGAAGATACGCCTCCTGGTCTTGATATCTGGAAGTGGGAATTCGATTTTACGGTCAATTCTACCCGGTCGAAGGAGGGCAGGATCAAGAGACTCGATTTTATTCGTGGCCAGGATTACTTTTACGTCTCCTCTTGAATCAAAACCATCCAACTGGTTCAGCAGCTCCAACATAGTTCTCTGAATTTCACGTTCACCTCCTGAGTGGGCATCATACCTGTAGAAAGATTTGTTTAATATATACCACGCTTCCAATCTAAAACAGCATTAACAATCTTTATATTACCTCTTTGTACCGACTGCATCAATTTCATCAATAAACACAATGGATGGTGAGAGATCATCGGCAACTCTAAAAAGCTCTCTCACCAATTTGGGACCATCACCAAGGTACTTTTGAATTAATTCACTTCCAACAACACGCAGGAATGTTGCCGATGTTGAATTTGCGACGGCCTAGAGATATTAAGAAACAATCAGAAACCATAAGTTTTTACATAAGGGAGGTGAGAGATATCAAGAAAGCAATTGCTGAAAACATTAATAACTTTTATTCAGTACAAAAAAGCCATATGCAACAATTCTCTACAGAACATCACCTTCAAATCCCCATATGGAAAATATTTGTTTCATCTCAAACATTTTATACGAATCAAATAAAACAAATCAATGCATGAACAACAATGCTCAGAGATTGAGGAAAAGAAAACCAACAGCAGACTGACGTAACAAGTTTCAGAAATTTCAAGGACAAAACATCTACCAGTAAGGTACTACTAAATAATCTACGTCAAGTTTGACCCTGAAATAATATGTATAGAATGGATGTAAAGAATTGTGAAACTATTTTCCTGGGGCATTCCTGTTAGTAAATAAAAGGAGTAGCACAAAGAAAACAATGTTAAACACCAAAAGGATTCAAGAAACAGAGACCAGTTTTATAGGATCAGCCAATTCTATCTTCCTAGAAGGTTTTATACACAAGTATCAAGTCACACACCTTAGCAAGTAAAGTTTTCCCAGTTCCAGGTTCTCCGTAGAGTATAACACCCTTGGGAGGTTTAATACCAATATCCTCATACAATTCTGGGTGTGTTAATGGAAGCTCAACTGCCTCTTTGATTTCCTGGATCTGTGCATCCAGACCACCAATATCAGCATATGACTCCAACGGAGCTTTCTCAACTTTCATCACAGACACCATAGGGTCAACTTCATCTTGAAGTAGTCCAACAACAGAAAGCACCTGATACAAGAAATGACTGCATATAAATTCTTTCCAACAATAAAAACAGCAGTGCATCCCCAACACGCAAATGAAACTTTTGACTATACAGACCAACACATAAGAAGAGAAAAGACAAAACGAAAACAATCACAAACTATTGTCCTTAGAAGGATCTTCATCATACTGCAGACATTTACTTTAGTTACTTCCACTAGAACAAGAATCAGTGATAAAAGTTCCCCATGAGCCAATAACTAGTTCGGATCCAAACAAAGGACAGTACACTAAATGCTTAACCAAGACATCCATGCACCTGCAACACAGCTTCACTCACTATCAAACATGCGACAATTAGAGAAATGCAAAGCTTTAGTGGGGCTGATATAGTATAAGGTCAATGAAACCAGTGTCCCCAGGTGATAATTCCAAGCTAAAACTACATGTAAAGTGGAGTCCAATTCTGGGTAAACTCATCATTGAATCACAAAAACACTGTGAACTAAATTTGGAGCTGTTCGTTCAGTATCCAATCCCCTCAACTCTCTTCCTCCTAACGAAATCAAATGATATTTTTTTCTCCTAGATTTGAATTGTCAAATACAACATTTCATTGCTAAAGAATTTAGAAGAACACGTATGAATGACCTATAAAACCGAAATAAAATAAACCCTAATGTCACAAAGCAACACAAAATCCTCAATTCACGCAAGCGAAGCACGAAAACACACCTTATTGTGCATAAGAATCGCACACCCAGGCTCGAGCTGATCCTTATCCACGAACGACAAGATCCCCACATAATACTCCGGCCCAACCGACGACGAGACAATAGCGTGGTTCTCATCAATCAACTCCTCCAAATTCCCGACGCTCATCGGCGAGCCTCTCAAGTCGTCGACCTTAGACCGGTCCTCCTCCGTCTTCTCCTCCTGCGGCTTCAACCTCTCCTGATTCGCAACGAACTCCTCCTCCATGAGCAGGTAGTCCTTGATTCGCTCCAGCTTCAGAAGCCGCAGCTTGCACTTCGTCAGCGGCGTCACCGTGGGTATCCTGGCAGCCGCTTCGGGCCCCTTCTGCTTGCGCTGCTTGCGCCCGACGCGGGCCGGAGGCGCCGACCGCTCGTACTTCTTCTCTTTCTTGTCACCGTCGTTTTTGCGGTCTCCCTGATTTTGACGGTTTAGGCCGCCGGGTGTTCCTTGACCCATGGTTCCAAGTGTGAATTCCGATCGAAAACTGAGGTTGTCTTGTGGAATTATCTGTGGTCGAGGGAGATTTTTTGGGTTGCCTTGTTCAAGAGAAAATGGAGATCAACCGTAAGGGTTCATTTATAGGGTGAACCCGTGGATGATCCGACCCGAACTAACATACACTAACGGGCCAGAGTGGGGATCCTGATGCCTAGCCTGATTTGAAAATTTGCCTAGTTGAACTCGGGTTCGACTCCAAACCAGTTAACAAGTTGAGTCAAGCACTGTTGTTAAACTAAATGAGTTAGTAATCGAACTCGAGCTAAGATCAAATCATAAGTCTTAGTACTTGAATATAATATGTTTCACAATTATGAATTACTTATTGGACCATAGGATCTCCTACGACCATATAATTAGGTTTCACCTAATTATAAATACCTCATTACCTTTTTCTATTTGATCGAAGTTGTGAGATTAAAACATCACGAGGTCTAGACACCAAACACATTCGAGCTTTCTAGATTGAAGATTCCTAACATCTTTATCGAAAGTATTTATTGACGTTGGATCGTGCACTGTGAAAATGGATTACGTGAATAGCATAGTCGAGGACAAAGCTTACTAACAAGTGTAAAGGGTTCAATGTCACTAGTTTTGATGAAATTCAAGTCATAGTATTTATAGATGTTCTTGGACATTCCCAAGAGTTTCATGTGTTAAAAGATATATTATGGGACGTGCCAGATCATCTAAAATTAAATTGAAACATTTTATGCATGAGCAGGTGCGTTCGGGTCGCGTGTTAGTCGCGTCTGACGAGCCGTCACGCCTAATTGATTGGTTGTTCAACTCGTCGAGCCCGCAATGGGCCTGGCACGCATCTACTCTCCTAGAGTTTGTACGCGCTAGCCTGGATTTGGAATTGTGTTTTTTTTTTTTTTTTTTCTACTCGTCTCCATGAACCCTTCTAGAGTTCTAGCATGCATAGTGAATGATTCTGGCTCATTTGGCTTGTCCAAATAAAAGTAGAACATTTGCTTATCCAACAATCTATGAGCTACATAATCTCAATCTATACTTATATAATAAGAATTAACATTTATCCAAAATAGTAGGTCAAATTATGGTCAATGTCGGATTTACATTAAATATTTTCCAAAACTGGTAAGTTTTTGTCCTTTTCACACTTCTCATTAATTATGTCCTTTTCACACTTCTCATTAATTCATTAATTACGACATAATTATCATAAATCATTCCATCTGAGCTTTTATCGTTAAAATATATAGCGAGATGTTATGACCTTATCCCATTGATATTTCCATGGAGCGTCCTTATTGCGTTCTATTTTTTGGTAACCACTCTATATCAACAACCGGATATTTGGTTAATGATGGCACACGTCTTTATTTCAAGGAGCGGATATTCTTTGACCTTTAATTAATCTGAACTGATTGTCTTGATTTTTCATTTTTTAAAAACTTTTTTTTTAAATATTTCGGCTTAAGATTCGGATTTCATTATACAAGTCATCAGATTGTTTGAATGAAAATGAATGAAAAGAACACCAAAAACAGGTAGCCTTATTTATATAACCAATCCTAAAATATTAGTTTGTTCACCAAAAAGAGACAAATCATAGAAATCCTATTATATTAGTTTGTTCACCAATCCTAAAATATTAGTTTGTTCACCAAAAATATTAGTTTGATTTTTAGGATTTGTCTCTTTTGAAAATATTAGTTTGTGATAATGAAGAGTTACCAAATAATCAAACTCATAATATTGTGTACAAGGAGGTTTTTAATAATATATGATTGTTACCGAACTTTTTATGATTCAACAATGTTCTTATGTATTTTAATGATTTCAATTTCGATCCTAATGCACGTGAGGTTATATTATTCTTCCAAATTTTACATCTCGTGCATCGCACGGGTTACGTACTAGTTTTGAGTTAAATAAACTCAAATCCCCCCACATTTCAACTACAAATCTAATGTCTCATCAATCTAAAATGGTTTTTAAATTTTATTCTTAGGGCTTGATTGTTTACGGAATAATTTACTCAACTTTATTTCATACTCAAAATTTAACTCAACTTTAATTCAACTCCACTATCTTTAATATTATTTATAATTAAATAATACAAACCAATCATTCTTACACATCACATGAACTTTAATTCACTATTCCTCCACCCACACAATTTTAACTACCTATCATTTCTAATCATTTTCAATTATTTATCTCCTACTTTTACATCAAATCAATTTTAATATTTTATTTTAAATATTATTATAATTCATTCTTAAAATTCCACTAATAACTAACTATACCACATTTTTCAAAATTAACTATAGTTAATCAAAATAATTCATTTTGAACAAATTATTTCATAAACAATCAAGCCCTTCGCTTTCCACTTACAAAAGTGAAACCGTAAAATTAGTATAAAATCAAAATGTCAGCATGACAGAAAAGAAAAAGAGAAATAAAGAGAAAGAGGAGATCATTACAATTTTTTTAATTATAGAGAAACATGATCTTCATTGGAGAAAGATATATTAAAAAAATAATAAAAATGACTAATGAAAGATAATAAAAAAAAAAGAGAGAGATCTTAGAGAGAACCACAAANAAGGTGAGAAAAATATTTAAAGTAAATCCTAGTGTAAAAAAAAAAAGCCCTTCTCTACTTGGGCCGACTTGAACCGTTGTGGCCCAATACCCACCCACTGAAAAAGAACAAGAAACGGGAAAAGGGGAACAATAAACTGAGACGGATTCTCAGAGCTCCAAGACTGCAATCAAAGGTCAGACAAACATGGGGACGAGAAAATGTCAAGTTTGTGAGGAGGCGCCGTCAAAGTACAAGTGCCCGACTTGCTTAGTACCCTAGTAAGTTGTTGAGCTTACTGTTTATACGTTTGTAGATATCTATGAAAAGAACCTTATTTTCAGCTAGTAATTGGTCATCTGTTTGTGTTGTACGAAATCTGGGCAAAACCTCGAAGTTGTTCGCTAGCCTGTTTCAAGAAACACAAAGGTAACCCGGCAAGCCCTTGATTTATTTTTTTTTTAGAAAAACTAAATGTTGTATACTAGATGGGCTTTTTGATTGGCAATGTTCTTGCAGAAATTCCATGTTCGAAACCGGAGTCTGTGAATGAAGAAATTTCTTGTGAGTATTTAGTTTATTTCACATCATATCTTTTGGTTTTAAATGTTGCTGCCTTTTGCAGGTGAACCTTTATTGTGAATTTGAGCTCATTTAAATGGGGAAAAGAAAAGGAAACCTTGATAATTTGTGTGTTTGTGGCTAACATTGTTTCTGAAATTACTCAGCTTCGCTGCCCTCGATATTGCTGGTTGATTATATGCAGGAGTAAAGTTTTTGAAGTTATTGTATCATGTTTAGTAGATAACCGGCACGATACAGGGCCCTTCGAAAGATTAAATCTTTTTGTTGGTAATTGATAATCACCAGCATACTCTTGGATTTCGGATATTTCATAAGCTTTTATAGTCCTAAAAGTTGCTACCTTTGTTCTATCCTGATGTTGGTTGATCACTTGATTGTTGTGGTACATTGATACATTCTATCATGGCTTGTAACACTTTGATAATTGTCTATTAGATGTTAGTTCGGCAACAAATGACCCCAAACCGTGTTATGTTGATGAGCAGAGTGAAGTGTTGCAAGAGTCCCAACTGCAATCTATCGGTATGAATTTCTACTAATTGTTTGTTTTACATATCCCTTTGTTCTATACTACGAGTTACCAATTTAGAGTGGAGTTAATAGAATAATCTAGTTTATGCTTCGTTTTTTCTTCTTCCAATGCTTTTTGTTTGTACTTATTAGTTTCTTGAGACAGTGATGTTCTAGTTTTATTTCAATGCTTTTTGAGTTGAGCACGCATTGCATTGTCGAGTTTGATTTACTCAGTACAATGTTAGTAACTTGTAGCATTCTGCAAATTTTTGTACATTTGCCTGATGCTTAGTTTTGACAGTACATGCATATGAGATGACTTTGGTTTGTTACTAATTATTTTTAACCAGATCATTAATTTTGTATGTTACCTTGTCAGGAGGTCCTTTCATATTCAATAAACTTAATTTAATTTTTGTCTCAACCTTGTGATCTGGATTCTATTGCAGCTTCATCGAGTGAAATCCGTGATTCTTTAAAGGATGAGAAACTTCGGAGACTAATATGCAAAATTGATTCCTCAGAAGATCCCGAGAATGTAAGAGTCATTATGGTGCTCGGGTGCACCTTTTTTGCTTTAGTAAAACATTCAAACTGCAAATCTATTTTCGAAAACAAGCTTGTTCGTTGACTGTGTTTTTTTTTTTCTTTCTTTTTTCCCTCCCAACTTTAGGAGCTCGAGAAAGCAATGGAGGAGGAATCATTTCTCTTATTTACAGAAAAGGTACTATTTTCCCGGTTTATGATCCTATCACGACGTGGTTATGGCAATAATATTAAACAAGGCAAAGGAAATGTCTTAAACCGGCATATGTGTTCACTTGCCTGCAGATTTTGTCTACCATTGGTCCTTGAAGCTCTGGTACCCCTCATCAGACATAGATTCTACAGTTTCCTAGTTTTAGTTATTTAAGATATACACACTCTTTGTAAAAACTATTACATGGCAATATTTTCTGGGCATCGACATTGCCAAATTTTTCCTTGTGGGCGATCTTGATTTTCTGTGTCGGGTAAATTTGGCTAAGGACCACTCCCCCTCCCTTATCTTCTACGGTAGTTGGGGAGGTCAATTCTCATCACATAAAGCCTTCCCTTATCTCTTTTTTGACCACACAAATACCTCATCTTTGTTTTCCCTTATCTTCTACCGTCAATCTTTTTCATACTTATCACTTTCTCATTCTTTCACTTCTTCTTCCAAAATCTCTTTCCTAATTACAGGTTGCTCCTCTAACTCTCTTTTATTCTTTCTCAATCACACACTTCCATAAATTTGGGTTGCACCATCTCAAAGATTTCCCGAGTTGCGACGGGGAGGCAGTGGCCGTGGCCCACGGGTGGGAGACGACGGCTGTTGTTGGTGTCAATCTGGCTAATGGGAAGCAGTTGATAATTAATTAAGAGTTTTGAGGTTTTATTTACCTGATTTTTTAATATCCATTGCGTAGTTTAGCTATTTAACCCACACACTTTCTAAAAACTATTACATAGCAACATTCTCCAGAATACCAAATTTTGCCTTACGCGCGATCTTCATTCTCTGAGTCACGACCTGGCAGAGTCATAATCGGCACCCCTTGCACTGTCATGTTCGGCACAAGTGGCACAGTTGTATTCTGACCAGTCGTGCTTGGCAGCACAATGTTCGGCACGCTTGGCACAGTTGCATTCGGCCCAGCTGGCATAGTTGGGCCTGTAGTTGGGCTTGGCAACGTATTAATCCTCGGCAAGCTTGAAACTGTCATATTCGACATGTCTGGCACTGTCATATTCGACAAGTCTGGCATCGACACATTCGGGCCAGCCGGGCCTGTAGTTGGATTTGGCATCAATGGGCCTGGCAGCGTCATAGTTGGCCCGTCTGGCATTGTAATATTCGACATCTCTGGCACAGTCGCATTTGGCACGGTTGGGATTGGCAGCGCATTATCCGGCACGCCTGGCATTGTCATATTCGACAAATCTGGCACTGTCATATTTGGCGGCGGCACGTAAGGAAATGACATGGCATGGGCGAGTATCTACAGAAATAAAATCGTTATAAATTATAAAAAACGTTTCTTTTTTTTTAATCCAATTTTCCCTTTTTTTGTGTTTGATTTAGTAGCTAATTTTGACCCTAATGAAAGGAAAAATAGTCCTTGACCTGCTGTTGACATAGATATATGTGCTCGTTGCCGTTGTTCATCATAGATGCGTCGNAGAAGCAAGCAAAGTTAGAAATTTAAGCATGAAAAAGGATCCCTAGGAAATATATACAAACCTCAGTTTGGGTGTTAACTTGGTCGGATTTGGATTTGTCTGTCTCTGTTGGTACTTTAGCTTCCGCCTTTTCAAACAGGTAGCCAAGAAATAGAAATGAAAGGGACAATGAGAATAGAAAAAACACAAAGTACAGAATAAATATTTGGTGGCAGAAAACGTTACAAGCAGTTCATAATGGTATGGGCTAAAGCTAGAATTGAATAAAACATTTTGGCAAATAAGTTCTTCTGAGAGCAAACGATAGGCATTCTTTCACTTCTAATACCCCTCATAAAGAAGAGGTACTACGGAAACAAAAGATTGCGACCAAATAAACAAAACATCATGTCAATAGCTCTTTGGATTATGTAACGAGCATCTTAAACAGTGTTTTGAGACTCGGACCGCCCGGCGGGTCGACTCGGGACCCGGTCGACCCGGAGCCGGAACCGGTCCGGGTGGAGTATTTGGACCGGACAACCAAAGACCCGGTCAAACCCGGCCAAAACCCGGCCAACTAGGGGCATTGACCCAGCTGGGTCAACCCGGTTGACTTGGTCCATATATATTTTTTATATTTTATTTTTATTTTTTTTTTTTTTTAAAAACAAAAATATGTATATATGTTTATATGGTAAATATTTATCATGAGATACATATTATTAACACTTTAATATACAAATTTTATACACAAGACATTTAATTTTGTTACTTTTATGTATATTTATATAACAAAATACTATATATACAAATTTTAAAATTAATTATCCGGTTCAGCAATTGACCCGGTGACCCGACGATTGAACCGGTGACCCGGTGACCTGAGGACCTGCCCGGATTGATCACCGGGCCGGGTTTAAAAACTATGATCTTAAATACGAAAAGTCACAGCATCTCTCATTTATGTGTTGGTTAAAACAAAATTAGGATCAAAATGAAAATTCTATATTGTTCAGCTTTGCCTTTTCCTTTCTTCTGAATTCTATAGGTTCTATATATATAGAAGTTGACCTTTATATACGTTGAATTAAAAAAGAAAGCGTACAGATAATTCATATGAACGGTGTAAACTATTAATTAAGGATCATGTGCTACATTAATGACGACGCTTCTTTTTTTGTTTAATGAAAAAACTGCATTTGGCGACGCTTCTTTTTTTGTTTAATGACGCTTATTGGCGAGTTGTGTTGCTAAATTTGATGTCAGAAAAAAATAAGCGTCAGTAAACAAAAAAATAAGCGTCGCCAAATGCAGTTTTTCTTGTAGCACGGGGACTCACCTCAAGGTCCTGGTCGCGAATCACTATGCCTTTGCCTTCTCTTTCAGCCTCGACCATTTTCAGCTTCTTTCTCATTGCCCGCTATACAAAATCTATGATTCATTAAAAGTTTCAAGACTTGGAAAAAATATCAGAGATACAATAAAAGTGTTAAAATTTATTCTCAACACAATTTACAGGTTATTGCAGTTGGATTGATTTAAAATGAGTTTCTTCTACGTTTTCGTTATCATAAGTTCTCAGAGAGCTCAATTTTCATCTTACACCTTAGTTAAGGATTTAAGTTGGGAAAGTAGGTTCAATTATGAGTAATCTTGATTTCTTAAAGCTCAATTCCAATAATAAACTATTTCTAGATAAGATATATATAAGTCGTCCAATGTCCAAATGAATAAGATATGTAAATGATCATTTTATCTCTTCTGTTTATTGTTTTATACAATGAAATTGAAAAAATAAAATCCAAAAGTTTCTAAGATGACACTCGGTTCTAAACGAAAGTAGTATCAATTAAGATATTTGAAAAAAAAAAAAAAACATTTATATAAGTAAGTTCTCAAAATAGAAAGATTCACTATTATTTTAATAATTTGATTATTTCAAATATTATGTCTGACCCTTTCACGATGACATCGGTACGAGCCGGACAGCATAGATGTTTTACAATCTTTTATTAATAAACATACATATATTTTACATAAAACGTAAAAATAAAATTTGTATGGTCATTATATCATTTTAAACTATTAACTTGAATTTTCTCTACAATTACTTATCAGTTATCTAATAAATATAAAAACCTTTGTCATTTCTTAACTGTTAAATAAATAAATAAATGATTTTAACATCGTAACATAAGTCCCGATGTAACTTTGGTCAATTTAGAGTGTAGAAGAAAGAGCTGAGAATTTTATTGTGTGTATAAATATGGGTTAATGTCATATTATTTGATTAATATTAATTAAATTTCCTAAGTGAGTTCAATTAATTAAATAGTTAATTAATAATAATTAAATGGGTTAGTACTAAGTGAGTTTAATTCATTATTTAATTAATAAATAATTATTGTCTTATTATTAAATTAATAATTAATGTCTTATTATTTGATTAATATTAATTAAATTTCCCTAAGTGAGTTTAATCAATCAATTAATTAATCAATCAATTAATTTTTATATCCTATTTTTTGATCTAATAATTATTTTTTCCAATTCAGGGGTTTTAACACGCACTGGTATAATTACTGGGTTATATATTTGCCCAGGCCCAGCTAGTGGTGGGGGATTGTGGCATCACAGCTTTACACGTGTCACTCTCCCAAAGCACGACGTCATCCCTCGAAGGACACGTGTAAGCTAATCCAATATCCCCTCTGTAATTAAGAAATTGGGAAAAACACATGATTAAAAAAGAAAAAAAAAAGTAAAACTGCCTCACCTCAGTTTCGTCGTCCTCATCGTCAACAACCTTCGCTTTCCCCTTCCGATCGGCGGCCGCCGACGAAGTCTCCGGCTCGTCCTCGGCCACCCATTTCCCTGTGCCCATGACCGACCTCGCCGCCACGGCGATCTCAGATCCGTCGCCCGCTGCGGGGATAAGCAGCGGCACGGCGTACGACGGCTGGAGATCGGTGCCGGCGGGAGCTCCCGCGGCGGCGGACGGCTGGGAATCGGAGGCGAAGATGGGTCCGTACAGATCTCCGTCCTCGTCGGGCGGGTACTGGAGGCGAGGGCCGTCCTCCTCCTGCTCCGCCAAAACATCCGCCGTCCGCATCTCCCTCTCGATCGCCGGCTCCCGCCGCGCGTCTCCTTCCTCCGCCGCCGCCGCCCGCCTTGGGTTCTCTTGGCCGTTCACCCCCACCAGCACCCAGCCATCGCCTTCACCACTACGGGAAAAAAATCCAGAGAATGAAAATTTAATTAAACTAAACTATATCGACCAAAAACAAAAAAGAGTAATTAGCGGGAAGCAAAAACAAAATTATTACGCAAGTTGAGGTGCGTGGTCGTGAATATACTGATAAGCAAATTGAACCAACTCATTAACCCAATCACGGTCCATCGGAATATCAAACAGTCTCGATTTTAAAGAAATTTCATAATGAGAAACAGAGAGAGGTGAATACAGAGTGTGTTGTTTTAGTGAGTGTGGAGTAGTGTAGGGTTTATAAGTTGGGGAAGGGGAAGATATATATATATATATATATATATATA